TCTAAGATATTTTTCACTAAAGTCAACGTTTAAAGAAAGAGTTAGGCCCTATCATCATCATCATCATCATCATCATGATCATTGGCAAAGCTGCCCGTTTTGAGCCACAGCCTTCCTTAGAAGCTTCTGCCAGATTTTATCCGGTTCTCACTTCTGTGGGTTTCGTGCCAATGATATTTCTACAGAGCAAGCTCAGCAGCCTTGCGTGCAACCCAAACCTGGAGGACCTGTCGCCCAGTTATACCCCAGGCACTGGGTTCCCACTTCGTCGCCTCCAACGGTGGAGGTATCCTACTAACCCCCCTCCACACGGGGCAGGTGTGCCCTATGTTTAAGAGATTTAGGAATTCAATCGAAGTACGTGTAAAAGCTAAAGGCAAAGTTGTCTCTCTTAATTAAAGCACCATGCCATGAAGTAGTATGGGGAAATGGAGGTACAACTCCACATATTCATAATCCCGACACAAGATGAAAGTGAGCATTCGGCTTCAAGTCCCAGCCGCTTATCCTAGGCCGCGGTCTGACAACGGTTGAGAAAGAGTCCCACGTACCCACTGGCTAAGAGGCCGAGTGGATCCCTTCCTCGCCCGTCCCTGTACCGACTGAGGCATCCCGTTTTCAACTGGAACCATAACTACGTCCAAGCTAGAGGCGAAACCCTTTTGCTTAGAAGAAAGGGAGACAGGCCTACTGAGTTCTGTGTGGTACCTGTAATGTAAATAACCTAGAGCATCTGTCGTGTCTGTGAATAGTACTTGTCTTCTGGAGTGTGACACCGTGTTGTCTGGTAGAAGTTTAGCGATACTTATGACGAAAGTAATGTCTCCATCTTGAGGGCGGAAATGTAAGCTAATCAAAAAAGGGTAAAGTTGCCCCTGTGCTTAACTAATTAAGCACTACGCCATGAAGGCGTATGGGGGAGTGGGTGTGTAGATATATACTTTCTTGACCTCGGCACCAGCTGGAGGTGAGTGGTCAGCTTCACGCCACGGCCGCTTTACCCCCAGGGAAATGAATCCCCGGTACCCATTGGATAGGAGGTTGGGTGGGCCCCAGAGCCGGTGTGCACGATAAGGAAAAGAGAAAATTCTGACCCTAACGGGACTCGAACTCGGACTCCTCGGTCGTCCAGCCCGTAGCCAGTCGCTATACCGACTGAGCTATCCCGGCTCATAAGCAAATCAAGCAATCACAATATCCGCAAGCGCTAATTACCTCTGGTTTGTGCGCACTATTCTTCGACCCTGAAGATGGAGTCAGTATGTTCCCCGAAACGTTAGTAAAATCGTACCAGACTACCCGCTCTTATGTGCCTCGACGGATGAATCTTTTTGAAATACTTCTAACAAGGATGAGGTACCAGGAGATGAAGAATGGGGGGGGGCTTACCGCCCGACAAATATCGCAGTGCGAAAGCAGGATCGGCGCCTCCAACTGCCGCAATAGGACAACACTTCATGAAATTATAACGAGAAGTTCTGGGATCAACTGATGTCCTACTTTCCCTTCATAACACGCGAAAAAATTACGCACACAGATATACATACGACCCGTTGCCTAGCAACGACAAGGGGGAACACGCAGACAGCAAGGTGACCTCGTAAGCATCCATAAGCATAAGACAGATATCTGCCCCTGCTGAGAATCGAACCCCCGGTTCTCCTGTCACTATACTGAGCTACGCCGTACGGAAGGAGTGGAATCTACAGGCATGGGAACTGCGCCAGCCATTGGCAATGCATTTCTGAGACAGATTTGATTGTGCTGAAGTGCGGAGGGGTGTGACGCCCGGACGCGCCTGTCTGCGTGATGTACCCCCAGTTCATGGTTGGTTCTCTGTGATCGACAGGTCTTTCAGTCGGCTCATAAGATCCGCCCCGGTTAACGTTGGGGCGCTCTGATTGGCGCTTCGAGTGACAAAAGGGTTTTTCTCCCCTTTTCACAAACTCTCCGGCTCAACTTGATGCGGTCACACACTGACTGGGCTTCAGTTTCGCCAATAGTTGAAACATGCAACCATACGGACGCTGGGTCTGGGGTTGTGACGCCGTGTAGTTTGGAGATAGCCCGACGTATCAGAGGAACATATCGACTCCACTTTCAGGGTCGAACACGAAAACAAAGGCTACACGGCGTCACAAGCCAGAACACTGTACTCTCCATACACACGCTGCTGATCTGCGAAATTACTGAGAGACTAAGTCAGTGTCTTACTGAGTAAATCATAAGACGATTCATCTAAGCTGTAATCCCGGGGACATCTAAACTTCTAAGAGAATATTCGGGCTTAATTAGTGGCAAGGGGAGTTTAAGAAACAATGAATATAAATTTATTTAAGTGCTGGGCCTAGCTACGAAGTGACAGGAGAATGGAGAAAACTACTAAATGAAGAGCTTCATCAACTGCACAACAAACAACTCCGTCGTTTCAGTCCACAGGCGAACTATACCGACCGAGCGACCGCCGCTTGTCAGCGAAGTTAGTGCCAACTTTAACAGATAGAGGGTGTCGCGTGGTCAGCGCAACGAATACCCACGGTCGTTAATTTCGGTTTTCTAGCCTGGAGTTCGCGAACTCGGCATATTAACACGATGTTCGAGCCAGGTGTGGCATGTGGCAAAAATGGGAGAGATGAGAAATGCATACGGAGATTTGATTGGGAAACTTAATGGGAAGATTAGGAAATAATTTTAAAATGATCTTAAAGAGATGGGACTGGAGGGTGTGGACTGCATTATCTGGCCCGACTTAGGGTCCAGAGACGGCTGCTAGAGATTTGGTATCTAAATGGCTGATCAACTATAAGCTTCTGAAGAAGGAATTTCTATTGGCGCATGCAGAGGGGAGGGGCTATGGATCTGCTCAATTGGCCGCGCCATAGCTCAAGCGGTTAGTCGCTGGTTTCACACCGCGGCGGCCCGGGTTCGAGCCCAAGTCTGATCAAGTGGGATTTGTGGTGGACAAAGTGGCGCTGGGGCGGGTTTTCTCCGAGTACTTCGGTTTCCCCTTCCAATCTTCATTCCACCGAATTCTCCATCATCATAATGACCCGGGGCAGGTACAATAGGCCAATCAGTGGCCGCCGTGCCGAGTGGACCCAGTTGGACTCCACCCGCCACTAAGCGAATATAGAGAATGGATCTGCTCCCACATAGGATTTTTGAAAAGAAAATCCAATAAAAATTACATGCACCAAATACCAATATCCAAAGATTAAGAAATGTTATCTGTCCTGAATACGAAGGGATGTCCGTGAAAATGTTCTTACGCGGCTTAAACGATCTTCTGGGTTGTAACGCCGCGTAGTTCGGAGGGTGCCGGACGTTTCGGAATACGCGGAGTTACAAGCCATGAGACCGCACTCTTCATAGTCACCGCTGTGAGAACCTCGGGTTCGACTTCAAGGCAAGTCTGTAAGCAGGTATCGTGTCCCCTCCTCTGGAAAATAATCCTGGTGGCGCCCACGACCAAGCCCTTTTGCTACTCATTCCACCAGACATCGCGTGGCCGGTTGTAACATCGAAATGCATCCAGTGGATGTCCCGGCAGATGGGCGGACACACGGAGGAGCAGTCAGTCTGCTTTGGATTCAGGATAAACAGTATCACCGGTTTCCCTTTCCAAGTCCTCACACAGGCGCTGTTACTTTAAGACTGGCGGTTTCGTCTTGACGACACGCCCCTTGAGACTCACGACGCTCACGACCAGTAATTTTATTTTCCGACCAAACACTTACGGTTATAGTCCTTATGTAACATCCACTCTTATAAGAGGATGGTTCTGTTTACAATTGTTGCTGGTACTCGCCAGCGCAGACATTCTCAGGTCCTACCCCGCGGGACTCATGACCACATTTTACTGTCTCTGATTCGAGACTTCACCAACCTGGAGGGCCAGGTCCCTGTTTTTATATCCCTCAGGAACAGGGTGGCCCGATTATACCCCCAGGCACTGGGTTCCCTTTTAGTCGCCGCTTACGACTCGCAGGGATACGGTGGAGGTAGTCTCCCTCCACAGAGACCCTACATTTCATGTAAGCAATATATAAAAATGTAGGTCGTACGTCACAGGAAACATGACGTCACCGCTACAAAGCCCAACCGGTTAATTCTCTTCAACGAAATAATCGCTTTTTATTGTATGAATCATATACTCTACAGAGTTCTGAATCTACACTCGCTGGCACATAGAGTAACGCCGCACTGCAGTGACGAACTGGACACTCAAATATAAATTTCTAGTAAACGATTACCGTAATAACCGATGTAAATATAAAGTTTTGTTGCACGGGAAGTACATTGGGGGGGGGGGGGAATCCTTCAGTTCACCTTTTGGGTTCCACTCTCAGTGTAAGCAAATTACACTGGCCGACGGAAGTATTCGTATCGGCAAGAAATATCGCACGGTATGGTACGTTTTCACGCGTATGTGGTGTGGCTATTAAAATACATGTATCCTTCACAACCGTCGCAATATTACACAACCCCCCCACCATTCTTGAACGGAAATTAATTTCTGCTACTCTTGTAAGAGTTAATTAGCAGTCATGTGAACACGTTACGCAACAATGTAAGTATGAATGCCCAGTTCTGTGGTCTGACGCCGGCAGCGACGTTGCGACTGTTGTGGCCGGGTGACGCCACATTTTGTTCCCTCTTTCTTTAAGCACCACGACACAGTGTCTGGGAATTTCGTATTACGTATTAGTTGAGACCGAATTTTTGAGAAAGTTGGGCTGCTTTTAAATGTGAGGTCAGAACGTCTTGTCTCCCGAGATGGCCTGGGGCTGCCACGGTGTGCTCCTCAGTAACCAATCGTTAGTGATAGGATTTGTAGGACTATTTGTTTGAGTTACGTTGTCGCTACTGCTCCTGCAATGCCGTTCCCACCTACACGTGGGCTCCTCCCCCCTACTCGTTTTTGTAATATTCGTTTGTTGTGTTTACATGCGTCTTCTTTGGGGAGAATGGCGGTGGGTCACAACCGAATTTACTGCTGACAGTGACATGACGAGGTGCTGTTTCGTGAGGTCAGTGTGCGACGTGCAGCTTGACCCGACACGTTGAGTGTCAGTAATGAGAGCTCGAGTTGGGACATATCGAATTTCTCAGAATCTGAATTTATGTAGATATTCACAAAATCAATTTTAAATTCTTATTGTAAGTATGGCTATGTTGGTTGTCTAATATATACATGCTGCAACACCTTGAATTTTGAATTAAAAGCCAGGTATTACGAGACATTTTAAATAAAATGGAAACGTTAGTGCTAATGCCTACGGAATTCGGTTTGGCGCCGACGCCAAAGTCAGGGCATTTAAGTCAGGATGGAGACGCCGGTCGCTTGGCTGTGCACACGGAGCAGTATGTGGCCAAGGGAACGAGATTTCTCCCATTCGAAGGAACAGTAAGACTCGGAAGGTTTCATCTGGAGCCGTTTCTACCTGAACACGATGTAAGTAACATTTTTACATTAGAACTGTCAGGACAGGAACTATTCATGGGAAATCTGTGGATCATCGCATTCATCATCTTATCACCTACATGCAAACACGTACAGGTTTAATCTGATAGGCTTAATGCTGCAGTAACTTTTGGTCTTCTAAAATGAAAATGGAGACAATGTAAATATTCAGCAACAAACCCTTTAAAACCGAACGGTTATCCATTCTTATTGCTGGTGGGGTGGGACTAAGTCCCTTGTACTGCGGCTACTTCTGGCCTACTGTATCAGCTCCAGATGGTAGGTGAGGGTGATTGTGGAGCAATTGGTGGAATGAAGATTGGCAGGGGAAACCGAAGTATTCGGAGAAAACCTGCCCCAGCGCCACTTTGCCCAACACAAATCCCACTTGACCAGACCCGGCGATCGAACCCGGCCCGCCGCGGTGGGAAGCCAGGGACTAACCGCTTGAGCTATGGCGCGGCCCGTTATCTAAACAATATATATAAATTCAGTCCGTACTTCACAGGAAACACATTACGTCTCCGCTACAAAGCCCAGCCGGCCAATGCTGTTTAGGGAAACAGTCGCTGTTTATTGTGAGAAACATATGGAACACACAGACACTGTGGGGGCAGAATGCAGAATTTTCGTTAATGGCAAAACAGATGGTGCACATAGTAACGACCGTGCTTTAAAGAGTTAAATAAAACTCGTATGTTTAAACTAGTGCCGAGCTCAAGAAAACGTTGATCTATACACCAACTGCTCCATACGCCTTCATGGTATAGTGCTTAATTAGTTAAATACAGGGACCGCTTTACCTTTATGTTTAAATTTTGCTCATTTTTACGCTATCACCTTCTATAGATTTTGTAAACTTGGCGTTTTTGTTGCACACGCCTACGAATGAAGACTTCTGCCGTTACACAAACCAACTGTATCTTCACATATTCAAAGTGTCACATCATATTTCGACAACAATATCATCAGGCGAATTAATACACTAAATATTATTAATGTGTGCTAGAGCTAATACGAATCCAGAAATAAATATAGCACTAAAAGACTAAATGGGCCTATCCCACATATGTAAAAACCTATACATAGACCAATATAAGAAAATGATCCATAAAACTGTTTCAACGAAGGAGACTTTATAACTTACCACACAACAGGAAATACGATATGCAAATCTAAGAAACGTTATAAATTATAACCCACAAAATTGAACATAATTTTAAATGTTTATAGCAGAACTGTGTTACTGGATCTGCATCGGCACAAACTTACAAAATAAATTGTATCCATATGTAAGTTACCTGATAATATTCTAGTCGAAACACATTGTGGCGAGCCAAACGGTCTTATTGAGCCTCTAGAAATTCTGGAAACAGAACTCGTACACACTGTCCGCTGATCTGCGATGCGGCATGGCAAGCTTTAATAAGCCTGCAAGCGTTTCCTGTTTTGTGCTCCCAATATTTAGCTTAAATGCCGAAAACCAAGCACAAACAAAACTTCGTTAAGTGTCTCTATGCCCCGTATTTGTACTTAAGTAGTTCTCATGGGTCATTCACACAAACTTGATTTAGCAGCTGGGGTATCTCAGGTATCTGTCTGTTCGCGTAACAACTCGAGAAATGTTGAAAGAATTTTCTTGAAATTTCATATTGGGTAGTTTAACTAAATGTGTCTACACATTCTTGTGTCAGCTTAAAACAGCAGATATTTTTCTGCGCGCACCTCGACAAATATTTATCGGAACGAAAAAAAAAAGTTTCGTGCAAACAGTAGCAGACAAAAATGAAACACATTTTGCCTAACAGCTAAGGTTCTCGAGACAATTAAAAATGAGGAAACGCACCATAGTTGTTACGCTGGGCGTATGTTTTCTAACTTGCCAATGGTCATTTGAGCCACACAGAAGGCCCCATAGTGCTGGCAAAATTATCATTTTTTGGAATGCACTTAATTTTAACTGATCTAATTTGAAAGGGCAAAGATTAATTAAAAATTGTTAATTAATTGTTAATTAAAGATGGGTTCCGATTTATATATCTCCCCGGCACATCGGCCGGGGTTGAGGTGCAGGCTCCTAGGTTCTATAAGCTGTGTAGTTTGGAGACAGGCCGACGTTTCAGAGGAATTTATCGCCCACATATTTACGGTCGAGGAGTAAGCCAAGCAAGAAACCAGCACAACTACACGGCGTCACAACCCAAAGCGCCGCCCTCTTCTTCTTAACCTTTGGAGCTCTCAAAGGCAAGAAGTGGAACAACAGGACCCGCCGCCCCTGCGCCGTATTGTTTGCGACTCTCGTCCTTATGAAACAAACTGGGAAAGGGTAGAGCCCTGCTCCGTAACGCAGTCACAGAACTCCAAAAGGCGTTCTTTCACTTAGTAAACGCACTTCAAATTTTGAACAATGAAACGTGTAACAGCCCCCCCCCCATATCGAATTTCAGCAGAACCTGTGAAATGGTTTATGGGATACATGGAGAGGTCAAAGCCCAGTCGGTATAGCGACGAGCTGGATTCGATTCCCGGCATTAGATGATTTTTTTCTCTTCTCCACAGCGTCCAGACCGACTCACTCACTCAGCCTCCTATGCAATGGGTACCGGGGGCCGTTCCCCCGGGTTTAATGCTGCAGGGTCGTGAAGCTGACCACTGACACCCATCTAGTGCCGAGGTCAAGAAAGATGGACATATACCTCCACTCCCCCATACGTCTTCATGACAGCGCTTAACTAATTACGCTCAAGGAAAAAAAAAAAGAAACATTATTTTCATCAATCTAAGATTTAAGATTATGTCTTCTCGATGTGACCCCGTACGGCTCGGTAGATAGATTCCAAAATTTTGGAAGTAAAGTCTCATGGAATACCAACTGTTTAGGCGCGTTTCTCAAAAACGGAAAATATTACGAACACAGACGCAGGCAAGTAGTTTTACACTGCCCATAGTCAAGTTTCTGTTCTGCGTGGAGCACAGTCATCCTTGAGAAGCTACCAGTCGCTCAGCTAGTATCGAAATGCCCCTCTTTGTATGGAACCCGAAGGTTCATTACGGTGGTCAAAAAGAGTCCACCTTAAATAGCTCCACGGAGCACAAACCTTCTCGACAAGCTAACAGTCGCCGAGCTAGTCAAGAAATTCCACAGCTTGTCTGAAAATCCGAAGGTTCATTACCGTGTTCAAAAGACCCCACTTCTGGGGCCTATCCCGGGCCTGATGACTCCAGTCAATGTAATGCCTGCTTGTTTGTTCAAACCCATAATCTTACAAACGCCTAGGTCTTCCAAGATGTTTTTTCTCCAATTCAAGTTTTGAGGCCGAAATTGTGTACCCATTTCTCATCTATAACATGCATGCTACATGCTCACGTGTTGCTCACTTCGTTTCTACAAAAGTGTGTGGTGTTACATGGGTTGAGGCAGCGGTATGTCGCAGCATTGAGCAACCAAAATGCAATAACTTAAGAGCACAGGACGGCCGTGGGGGGCCAGCATTACAGCAGCCTCCGTTCCCATCCTACCATATTACAATACGCAGCGTCATCCATCGACTGTGAAAAAATAAGCTTAAAATTTTAGCTTAGTCATTTTATAGGCTGCTTTTATAATACCCTTGATTTGCCGACCGTACCAATCTTGTGAAAAGCATTATGAAACAAGTGAACAGCGGGAGGCGACAAGCTCACGTAAAAACTGTACCGTTCAGAATGAAGACTTCAGTTTGTTTTCAGTACAATGTTGTGCGCATTCCTGCCAACTTAAAAATATTCGGAATGTCTTTTTAAACTGGTTTGAAGTGCTTTTGTTACCTGAGATGGTATTTCGAGAGCCTTTCGGTTTTGTAAATACCCAGCCAAATCAAATCCACCCTTCGCACTTTGTTCGCAATGTTCTGTCAGGCTTCAATACCTAGCCACTGTAAACAAGCAAGAGCAGACGGACGCTACGTCTGCATTCGCCCCGAACTATTTAAATTGTTGCTACCATCATTTGCAACTCTAGTAGTGATGTAGTTGTTATGAATCCATCAAACTCCATGGCCTTAGTCCGCAAGCGAACTATACCGACCGAGCAACCGCCGTTTGTCGGCGAAGTCAGTGCCAGTTTTAGCGGATAGAGGGTGTCGCGTCGTCAGCGCAACGAATTCCCACGGCCGTTAATTTCGGTTTTCTAGACCAGGGCCGCTACTTTTTCATTCAAATAGCTCCTCATTTACCCCCACGAGGCTGAGTGGACCCCGTTCCAGACACACTACTTCTCAGAAAATCTGGTAGCGCCGGGAATCGAACCCGGGATCTCTGGATCTGTAGCCAGGAACTCTAACCACTAGACCACAGAGGCCGTCGTTATGAATCCATGTATATTTGTTTGGAAGGACACTTCCCTAAGACTGCGCAGATCCCTATGTAAAACTTGGATCACATCCTCAGCTCTAAGGGTTTACGACGGACGGAAACAGATATGTCAGAAACAGTTAAGGAGGTTACATTAAACACTAAAGTGTGAGCCCCAGTGGCGGTTCGTCACATGCTGAATTGATGGGGTCGAGACTAATACAGTTTCACCCCCTCCCCCTGTCAATATTTAAGGAAAGAGGGCAACATTTGAGTTATTTAAAAGTTCACTATTTGTGACGTAGAAGCAACTTCAGGCTGCCAAGGACTTGTTAAACAAAGGAGCTGCGCCCCTCACGCCTCGTGACAGAGGCACACTGCGCCCTTGGGTCGGGGGAGGATTCGGACCCCACTAGGCTCATTTCGGCCTTCTACCGCCCACGGTTAAATCGTACAGAGGGTAGATATTTCAGCAGGAATGAAGCAGGCGCAGTTCGCCAGCCGGACACACGCGGCCAGTGTTCGATATACACGTACATTCTCCAAGCCTTGCACCGAAATTTATAATTCATAAAACTGAAGTGCAACAGTGAAGTCTGGCAAAGTCGCTCTCGTGTGCGTAATTGTCTAGAAAATGTCGAGATTTGTGGAAACAGTGCACTGGACATAACGTGTTACATGGTTCCTTGTATCGGAAACAAATTTCGCTGCTAATTAATATTTTATGCTTCACGCTTGAGGCGCGCACAGAAACGCAAATACACCTCGTGCAAGGTATCCGTTAGTTCTGTTCCAATTAAACGAATATGGGAATATATCCACAAATTTTAGCGAAAGTCTCCGTTATCAAATTTAATAAAAATCTATTCAGTTGTCCTCGAATACGTCAACTGTCAATATTTCCGCCGTCCTCTTTGTTATTTAAAAACGTTTTGCCTCCGCCTTCAGGTAAAGGCTTATCTTCAGAGATAGGGACTAGTTCTATCGATTTGGCCCAAATGAGCAGGCTTTTACCTGAAGATGGAGAGAGTCCAGTCTCCGAAGAGCTGTTAAAAAAGCAGGACGATGGACAGTGGTCAAAATGTCGATAATTGTATACCAGCATCACAAAGTTACAGATCTTATGGCAATATTAAGGGCACGCGGTAAACTAGTTGAGGTACTACGCTAAAAGCCGGAAGGTCGCGGGTTCGACTCTCGATATCATTAGATTTTTAAGTTGGCTTTATCCTTCCAGCCGCACTATGACCCTGGGGTCGACTCAGCCTCCAACAGAAATGAGTACAAGGAATCTTCCTGCGGGTAAAGGGAGTCGGCGAGTAAGGCTAACAATCTGACCGCCATCTATGATGGAAATGTGGGAGCCTCGACGTCTCAGAAACTATGGCCTCCGCGGCCTGTTACAAGGATAGATTTACTTTCTCTATATGCCGATATTTCTGCTTGCAACTTACGGGACTGCTTTGCTCCACAGGTACGGTACAAGTTTGGATCTTTCGACATGATCCAGGAACTGGACACCAGCAGAAGGATACGGCAGTGCAACTGGGTTCGCTTTCTAGTGTCCACTGACAGCTGTGAGACACAGGCAAATGAAGACGGCGCCAAGCGCAGTGAGGGCGTGGAGGCGAACATGAGCGCAATGCTCCTGGATGGGCAACCCGTTTTTGAAGTTACAAAATCCGTCTTGCCTCACACTCTGATAGTGGTTCACTTTCAGGACACAGCCCGTGACGGGCTGCTGGCATACCCGTACAGTGGCATTCCTCTAGGCCAGAAGTATGCCTCTCCAACAGAACTCCAAGGTAACTAGGCTCGCCTCTTCTACGTATGGGATGGGGGTCACTGCGAATGCTGCGCCTCTCGGCGTTAGCCTCAGGGCGCCCCATGCTGGTACATGGGGCTCAGGCTCACCCCACCGCTAGAGCCATCGTTAGAAACGTCCCGAAAGTGAGCTTCTGCGAAGCCACCAGATAAGGGGCATGTAATTCCTTTTATTTGGGGCCCCTCGAGAAAGATTCGCTACTTCGAAACCGTTACAATTACCAGCATTAATCGCGCTGATGGAATATAAGCTGGGGGTTCGTGAAGCTGACTAGTGCCCAAAATAGGAATGCGTGGAGCCCTCCTTCCACTCCTCCCCTATCTTCATGGTGTATTACTCGGAACTGTGATTCTTTTACAGATTAGTATATTCCCATACAGATAAGCCTCGTGTGATCCCCCCCTAAAGTCGCGGGCCGTAGTTTGCGTGGCACTGCACGCTATTCCTCGCAGCGTGATCCTGCCTGAAGAAGTCTACCACGTTGCGCCATCATCACGAATTCAGCAGTTTGGGGCCGGTTCCGGGTTTCCCCGTCAGTGCCCAATGTCATGTGATTGCTGGATGCTGATCCCCCACCCGAGGAGCCATGAAGTTCTCCACAAAGCCCATATAGGCAGGTCTGTGAAGGGGTGGCAAGTACCTGACCGGGGGAAAAACCCACACTGGCCGTTTTCAGCCCCTAATCACCATCTTCGCCCGACTTGTCCGTTACAGCTGACGTCGCTATATACATACGGCCCAGAGGTCAAATAACGAAATTCACAAGTTGCTCACCCCGGGTGATGTTTGAAGCTTCTGAAATCACACTGAACACTTCCTGTCCCAGTTTTCCTTTTGTGGTTTATTTTATGTCACCATCAATATCCAGGCTAGGGGGGACCACAACTTGACAATTTTGAATGGAAGAGTGAAACTGGTCAACAGCTACATCCCCATGAGTTTTAAAATAATAATAATAATATAAGGATTTAACGGGCTCAGAACGTTTCATTATGCACAGATAAAAGACCTTGACCTCAAAGTTGAATGAGGACCACTTAAAAGTTTTTCTTGGGCATAGGCGGTACATGGACCACGAGTTTGTGAACCTGTAGTCTAGACTATGTGTACCATTGTCCTGTGGGATGATCACTGAACTGCAAAGGGTTTGGATGGAATCATTATCCTAGTATTTGCCTGGAAGGGCTGAGGAAAACCACAGAAACCTAGTGGAGATATCTGGTGTCCTGGCTGAGGTTCAGAGCACGCGTCTCCCGAACACAAACTACACTAAGAATCTGTCATGCCTGCACTTAGTGACCTGTCATAGGCATGTCTTACTGATACACGCAATGGTAACTACACTGCGTGATAAAACTATATTTCTGCTTCTTTATGCAGGGTAGAAATGGAGGACTATACATAAACTCTATGAGATACTCTATTCAGTGGGAAAAGGGTACTCTCACACGAACTTAATTCATAAATTTCTTAATGTCTCAAAAAGCCTGTGGACCCACTGCGCCTTGCTGTATCTGAAGTCTAACAATTATTATTCTAGACAGCCCACTGGATTTATCCAAGTCTTTAATGGGAAATTCCAAGCCACAACTATTTGTAATGAGTACCGATGGAACAAGTAACCGGGTACGGCTCTCTCAAAAGTCCCTACTGCCCTGCGAAGTATGCGGCAAGGTGTTCGACCGACCATCTTTATTGAAGAGGCACATGAGGACCCACACAGGTAATAAATTATTTTACATAATTCTTAAAATCAGAAGAGCTTTTATGTAGATTATTATAAATTATCTAAATACATTAAAAAATCTGTCATTATGTGTACAAACAATTTCTTGTGTAAACTTTGCACACGTCTCAAGTATTTATCTATACTCTGTGTGTATCACGGTTTCAATGAGTTGCATTTAATAGTTCTGAATGACTCTGAACTTACATTCAAACAAGTTAAGACTTTTTTCTTGGTGGAGCGCAAAACGAATTATAACACACATCATGGACCAGAATATTATCAGCCAAATACAGCAATGTACACTAAAGTTTTGCTCAGAATTACTGGCTTTTGGACTTTGTCCACTGTCCAGTATTCTAAAAATTAGCAACACAATTTTTCAGCAATGGGATCTGCTTCTGCCCTCAGGTTAGTGGGACAAGGGCACACACAGATCAGTTTCTGGAACATTGTATACTATAGTTTTTATAACACCAGACAATGGACAAAGACCAAAAACCCAGTAACTCTAAGCATGATACACCACATCGGAACCCTTCAGAATCTACAATAAAGTTCACTTACATATGCTGGAGGCGTGGGGACAATGAAAGCATGAAACAGATTCCCCATTTAACCCTTTGCTCCTCCCAACACAGCAAAATTTCACGGGTTATATCCCTCATAACACACTGAAACGTGATGAAGTAACTGCAAGAGCATGGCTTATAACACCATAAGCTAGCATTCTAAATGAAACACACAAAGGATTAAATGTCTTTAATCCTCCATCACCAACGGCAGTGACAACCGGATTCTGTACTGACAAGCCGCAGTGCTCATGTGTGCGCTACAAAATACCTGGTAATATTAACTCTCATTGTGCAGGTGAAAAGCCTCACATCTGTGAGGTGTGCAACAAGGGGTTCTCAACATCTAGCTCACTAAATACACATCGACGTATCCACAGCGGAGATAAGCCGCACCAATGCCTAGTGTGTGGCAAACGCTTCACTGCCAGCTCCAACCTCTACTACCACCGCATGACACACACAAAGGTAACGCACAGAGATGCCATCCGCCTGGTAAAAGTCTGTCCAACTTCTTTCACACTAGATGGTATACTGGTGCGAAGCGGGAAATTCATCTAACTCACAACAGTACTTAAAATTTCAGCTCCTGTGTCATAGGATAAGTACGCTACAAAGACAAACTGGTAATTAATGTTTATGGAAACAATTTCTGTTTGCTCTGAGACCCATATGAAACATACGAATACAGCATGTGGGCAAAATGCAAAGTTTCTTAATGTTATAGTGTTACATAGAGTAAACACTGTGCTTTCAAGAGTCAAGGATGTGTACGAACTGGTGAACGTAATAAGGCGCATGAATCATGAACATCGTGTTATACACACATGACGACGACTCGGGAGACATGTGAAGGATGCTGGCATTCGTACCAAGAAACTGGTGAATACGGGCAGCTGGGATTTGAAGCAGGTACCTCTCAAATGTTTGTCACACCTGCTGAGTCAGTGGGGCTGATCCTACAGAGCCAGTATCTCACAACCACATCAATGCTTAGTGCACTGTTCAAGTGGTCTACCAGTTCAGTAGATTGCTGTTGGCCTTTGCCAGTGCAGTCATTCTTGGTTTCGAACCCCACAGGACGCTTGACCATATGTTCTGTCTCAAAACTCTGACTCCATTTGGTCTGTAATTTCCCCCCCTCCATTAAACTGCATCATTGTATCCAATTCTTTTCCATTAATTGTATTTTCAAGTATACACTAAACAAAACCTATGCTCACACCTAATAATTCTGTAAGCTACGATCTCAAGCCGCCTACAAACCAGGTCTTGCAGTAAGCTATGGTGTGATCAGTATCTCACCTAAACAGGAGGTATAAAGTAATTATATCCCTGTGCCTTTAATTAAGCACCATGCCCAGAGGATGAATGAGGGAGCACAGGTACAGCTTCACCATTCGTACTCTTTGCTCTAGATGTGAACGAGTGGTTAGCTTCATGTCCCAGCTGCTTTAATCCACAGCACTCAGTGCAAAGGTTGGGTGGGCCCCAAAACCAATCCAGATGCTGAGGATAAGAGAAGAAATCTCTTGCCTCTGCTGGGAACTGAACCCTGATTCCTTGGTTGTCTAGCATGCAACCCAGTCACTATACTAAATGAACTATTCTGGTTCCTCAATTATTTCCCTTATCTTTACTTACTCGCATCTTTTCCAGGAAAAGCCCCACAAATGTGGCCAATGCTCTAAGTCTTTCCCAACCCCTGGAGATCTCAAAGCACATATGTACATCCACAGTGGGTCGTGGCCTTTCCGTTGCAATGTCTGCAGCCGAGGGTTCAGCAAACAGACCAACCTACGCAACCATCTTTTCTTACATACGGGTATGTCATTGAAAACTGCGCACTTCCTTTTCAGAACGTCTATTTGCTGTTCATTTCATTGAATTACAGCTGTTGGCCTTATAATAGACAAGACAATTAAAATATAACAAACCTCAAACACACAGGATTCCAACTGTTAAATGTCACAATGTATACAACCATAAAATATGCTCCGCTTATCCTAAAATTACATTAAAACATTATTTCATTGCTAAGTCTAATGTAGTTATGGAAAAAGGAAGTTAAAACTGTGCACATTATTCATTAGTTTTCTTTCTGCAGGAGATCGGCCATTTCCGTGCAAATTCTGCGGAAAGAAATTTGCTCTGGCTTGCAATCTACGTGCACATACGAAAACACATCATCACAGTGATGACAAAATAAACAGCATCAAAGAGATATCTTCAGAACGAACAGGAATCACCACTACAACATATGACAATACTGAACCAAGACACGAAGACAAACCTGATATGATTTCCCCTAGAGGGATAAATGATACCAACTATAAAATACATAATTCCTGGCATGAGAAGAATGACAAGGGAACACAATCGATTCTGGTTACAGGTGCTAACAAATGCAGTCTCCCAACAACAGAAATGATTCAGCAGTTCCCATCCTGTTCTTTAATAAAGAACTTCCATTCAGCAGACAGCACTGCAAGTCCACTGAACATTCCTTCTGCAACAAATGTTACAGATCATAACAAAAGACTGTTTCATATGAACTCCAGTAACTGTGTACTTGATAATGTGCCTAAATCAGCAACAGATTCTGGTATTAACAGGCTTGCATATGCCAACATTTTGGAAGATTTATGGCCAGGAAATAATTCATTCATTAACCAGTGTAACATACCTCTGTCAGTTCTTCCAGCACCCTTTAACATTAACATGCCATGTATAACATCCATATCATTAGTCGACTTACAGGCTTTGCTGCTGATGCAAGCGGCTAACATGGCAATGCTTCATGGAGGAAATATGACTTTCAGTGATGGGAAGTCACTGAAAAAGCAGACGACTGAACCAGCACAAAGCAGAAGTCTTTTACTTGCCTGATTGTGGAAGTTTCGGCAATGAAGATAAAATATACATTGTGTGTTATAAAATATTTTATTCTCTTCTGTCACAATTTTGTATATATGAACCCAATTTTGCAATGAACCTAACCACTGATAACAAATGTCTCACTTCTCACACTCAATCAGATGTTGAAAATAAAAACAAATAGTTTATTGAATGATGCCATCAGTAGATCACACCATACAGCATGGAAATAAAAAAGTTCTAACTGCACTACAGAATGTATGTTCTCTAGACAGTAAATAAAGAAAAATTATATATTGCTCTGGACACATTAGTCTTCACAGAAACCTACAGTGTTATGAAGTGCATCAGTTGGACACTAATACTCACCTGAAGAGAGAAAATGACTTAAATAACTTTTCCATTAAGTCAACACAGTGTTTGGTACAACAAGACAAACTCATATTTGTACACATTGTGTAATATAATCCAATTACACTAAAGACTACTTCATTACAAGATGCAAGCCCCCTTCCTTTATGTATGAAAAGCAATATAGCTAGTAACACATTAAAAATAAACTCACAGTACAGATATTCATTCAGAGTGTAAAGTAACTTACCAACTTACCGTACATTTCTTGTACGTGTGCAAGTCTTACCTAATATTAATCTTCTTTATCGCCAAATTATATTTTGCTTTTAGGTTTCACCTTCCACCTTCACCTTCTTGGCGTCTGCAACTGCATCCGCGTCTGTCTCTTGTCCATCTGCGTCTTCTTCAGTAATGTCGTCCGCCTTCCTTTTTGTTGCTCCAGTCGAACTGTCCTCTTGGTTTCTGTCAATGTTACTCTCTGCTTCTAGGGTGCTTCCCTCTCCAGTCTTTGCACTTTCATTCTCTGTAGAGGTACGAGTTTCATCATCTTCTGCAGCTGCACCTGCTTTGGGTGCTTCTTTCTCAGCAGCCTTCTTCCCGAGAAGGTAGCTGTTCAGACTTGCTTGGTGTAAAGATGATGTATCCACTTTGAGTATCTCTCGCAGAGCCATCGTGGCATATGTTGCAGATGGCAAACAAAAATCCAAGATGAGGGCTTTGTATTCGCCTTCTGTCGAAAAAATCATGGCAAATAACATTAAAACATGGAGGACTAATTTATCGATTTAAAGAAAGACCGGAAGCTTCCACGGCAACTTAAGCCACATCAGTTTGGAGCAGAAGTCCCAACATTTTTGAGACGATCTCTTTCCATGGACTCTGGGAATGCTAACATGGACTTTTGCTCCAAACCAATTTTATTACTTACTTACTGACAGACTCTCAGCTACTTCAAGATATGGACCCTGACACAACCCACCACTTCCACATTCTTACATTCACAGCTCTACCTGCACAGCACAGCAGGTCAGGGATCTTCAGAACAGGTCCCCAGTTTATCACCAAATGTACTTACATATAATTTCCAAATTATTTACTGAAAGATGAATCATAAATTCTATGCCTTCTAAGCAGATTTATAATTACGATTTTGCGTTTGATTACACTCTTATACATGAGACACCCATTACCTCCAATGGATTAAGAACTGTGAACACAGTCTGCTTAAAATATATTAGTGGGGAATGATGATGGGTGTCAAATCCCGTAATTCCTGTAGAGATCTATTTAAGAGACTACAGATCTTAACTTTTCCTTGTGAATATTCTCAGACGAATGCGCGTGTACACAGTGTTAACACAAGACACAAACACTGTCTTCATAAACCAATTGCTAACCTCTCATGCTTTCAGAAAAGTGCATATTATGCTGTGATCAACATTTGTAATAACCTGCCATCTGATCTCAAAGGCCTTATGAATGAAAAGGCAAGATTTTAAATAGCACTGAAACGATACTTAAATACACTTTCGTTCTACTCTGTTTATGAGTACCTGTTGTCTAGAAAATAACTTATATATCTTTAAATAGCCTTGTGTGTAGTCACTGTGTATTCTCGGTTTCTCTTGTGTGAGAACTCCATTGGGACTGTACATATGTTTTGTATTTATATGACATATTCCACATCCTAGAGTCATTTTGACTAACTTTGGATCCATGGAATGCAATGCAGTGTAATGTAATGTAAAAAAATGTATAAAAAGGAGCAAGAAATACAGGCAGTGTGGCAGTGAAGTTCCCATAAAAAGCAAGCATTAAAAGGGTACCAACTTCTGAACTGTGACCCTGTACAGCCTGGTAAAAATTTAATGACATATCAGAACATACTGCCTCCATCTTCAGAGTATGCCAAGCAAGCAGAGTAAGTACTGTAACTACATCGCCTCATCAGCATTCCTGAAGGCCATGCCATAAGATTCCTTACTCGTGGAACACGAGTCGTTACCTGGATCATCCTGAGGCTCCGGGGCATTCTTCAACTCCTCCAAATCAGACTGAATCAGAGTAGACAGCAGGTTTGAATAGCGCATCGTTTTCCAAGAGAGATTCTCAGGTCGCACTAGCATGCGTCGGTAGGTACCACTCACTGAATACTGCCTGCAGAGTTGGGGAAAATACATTACCAACAGCCTGCACTAGAAGTCCCTAGCCAAATGTACCCACACACAATACTCATGTGTGTTCTAACTCTTGACAAGATCATACATTGAAGTCAAGCAGTCAGCACTCTTGCTTTGTATCTGGGAGGTCCCAGTTCAAATACTGGCCCTAGGACTGTAGCTGCTGCAACACGGTCACCATTCTGTGTTCCCCATGCCACACTGTCACATCATATTCAACTTCAATCTCAATTTCCACAAGAATTATGATTGTGTCAAAAATATATCAAGGTTACTTTTCGTCCCAATGTTCCTTAAGAAGCAGTAAGGTGCAGTCTCGAGGTATGAATTTCCGGACACCTGTGTGTATACAAACTGGATACACCATGTGGGAACCTTTTCATTTTTCTTAATTTTTTGGAGATTTTAACACTGCTCTATGAACAACAAGACTGAGAGGATGATTATGTAGTGACAACAAGAAGGCACTGGGGAGGCAGTGGTTGTTGCTGACAGGAGTGGTAAAAGTAAGGACCATGTCACAGCAGCACTCAATTGTATCAGGAAAGAAACAACAGGCAGACTTAAACAAGAAAGACATAAGAATAATGACAAGAGAAATAACATATTTCTTCATTATTAATCATTATCATTCACGAATATGGGATTTCAAACCTCCCAGTTCTATGAATGTAAAAAAAAGGGTAAAGTTGCCCATATGCTTAACTAATTAAGCACTGTGTCATACCGAGAAGAAATTTAACTGTCAGCTGGATCATGAACATGCACTGCTGCCATAAGGCAACACATGGTCTGTACGTATAGGTTAAATGTTCAAAAAAAAGGAAAGATTATACAGTGTGTCCACAAAGTCCCTTTGGGGTTTTGATAAATTGTGGCATACAAACAAATTCAGCTAGCCACATGTGATTTGCGGCAGATCATACTGAAACTCTGGACATTTTCTTTTGCTGCCAACACATGGCATAAGCGACCATCTTTACATTTCTCAGTCAGTCGTTTGTTAAATGGCAACTATGCAGGATGGCTTTTAGAGACAAAATCAGTCACTCAGACTCAATGAAATTACCGCACACAGTTCAATAAGCAAACTCCGAGGGACAAAGCAATAAGAGACTGGCAACGGCGTTCCGTAGGAACTGGGAGCATCCATGATCGCAAGAGAAGTGGCAGACCGGGTGTAAGCAATGAATGTATACTGAGAGAAATGAAACATACTCTTTCCTCAGTTTCACATGAATATTTTTTCTCACTGCTGTACCAGTCTTACCTGACATTCTGCTTCATTGATGAAAATGAGAGTCCATCAACAGCCAGAAGCTCCTCGTACCACTCCTTAATAGCGTTATTTGGATACACGACATTATGGCCTGGCAGTGGCAACACAATGTCTTCTATTTTTACGCTGTCCAGTTCGTCTTCAGTTATGGCCCTCACAGCGGGTGTCTTTTGACTGTAGTCGAGCAGTGGACAAGCTTTAGATCCCTCTGGATTCTCTTCTGTGGGGCCTTCACCAGGATTCTCTTCTGTGGGGCCTTCACCAGGATTCTCTTCTGTTATATCTTCATCTGCATTGTCCTCCATGGCACCTCCAACATTTTCTTCTGTGGTACCTGCATCAGTGCTCTCCTGCACGTTGCGCTCCATGGCTTTATCTGGCGAACCACTGCCATCCTTCCCTGTGGCTTCTCCTTCCTCTTCCCCTTTATTTTCAGTGTCATCACCAACATTTGATTTTGTTGTACCATCCGTCTCTCTCTCATCTTCATCTTTCTCTTCTGCGCTGTTGGTGTCGCCGGCCTCCGCCCTGGCCGCCGCTTCTCTTGCAGCCAGTGCTGCGGCTTTCTTTTCCTTCTTCCTTGGTCTCTTTGGGAACTCATCTGATGCAACAACAGTTCCTTCTTGATCAACCACCTCCTGATAATCATTATTATCCACGAACACCAAGTCTCCTACTATGGGCTGCAATCCAAATTCCTTTATTCTGCGTGACACAATTTTGTTCCACACCAAACTCTGGTATGAATGCAAGTACAGCAGACGAGTGTTCCGTGGAATCTAAACAAACAGCACATTTTAAATTAATATTTTATATTCCACATCAGCAATATTCAGGCCCAACAGAAATGTGTTCTGAGGTACTCACAGCAGTAAATGCTAAGATTACAATTTCCCGGGAAGGGAAAGTGTGCATCCCAGTAAATATGTACCACTGCTTTGGAGGAAGTATATTCCTCAGAAAGGTGGTGGTACTCACCTATGAGATTACACAGCTTCATAACCCTGGTTACAATATGAAACTTAAGGCCTATCATAAAGAACATGAAACAGCATGACTTTCCCTGAAATATGGGACTAATATCATGGCATCTTAAAGGCTTCCAAAACAAGTAAAGTAATTATAGCAGAAGGCACTGTGGGTAAACTTGTCATTTCATGGCATGTAAAGCAGATGCCATGAAGAACAAATTTGTCAATGCACAGTGAATTTCTCAGAATGATCAACTCAAGAAGGATGAGGTGAGCAGGGCATGTAGCATGAATGGGGGAAACAAGGAATGCATATAGGATATTGGTGGGAAAGCCAGAAGGAAACAGACCACTGGGAAGACCAAGGCACAGGTGGGTGGACAATATTAAAATGGATCTTAGAGAGAGAAGATGGGATGGTATGGATTATATTGATCTGGCTCATGATAGGGACAAGTGGAGGGCTCTTGTGAACATGGTAATGAACTTTCGCGTTCCATAAAATGCTGGAAAATTCCTGAGTAGCTGCAGATTTGGCTTCTCTTCAAGAAGGGCTCAGCTCCATGAGTAAATGAGTAAGTAAGTAAGTACAGTGAATTTCTACACTCATACTACTAGATGTCCAGTATTATGGTCACCTTAGTAAAACAGTGCACCAAACACAACACTTCGTTAATTCCACGTGTCCTATTGTAAATTCATGGCATGGCCATACAACCATGCGTGATGTTTACTGCCATCATGATTTCTGCTATGATGACCAACAAAGACAGCCACTGCCGGGTAACAACACGATAAACCAGTTTCCACAGGAACTACCGGAAATGGTGTTTTCTATTTGTTCTGACCCCAGGCTATATAGTGAGTTGCTATCAGTCAGTCATGACTAGGAGTCACCATCATGAGTTTCTTCGCTTAGCTGGGGGTGGGGTCCGACTGGGTCCACTGATTGGCCTATTGTACCTGCCTGGGTGATTATGATGATGGAGAATTTGGTGGAATGAAGATTGGCAGGGGAAACCAAAGTATTCGGAGAAAACCTGCCCCAGTGCCACTTTGTCCACCACAAATCCCATTTGACCAAACCAGGGATGGAACCTGGGCCGCCGCAGTGGGAAGCCAGCGACCAACTGCTTGAGCTATGGCATGGCCCACCATCATGAGTTACTTGAGAGTCAGCAGTTGAGTCAGTCAGCTGTGAGACAGCAGCCAGCTGGTAAGGTTGTGAACACAGAAGCTGAGGTACCTACATTGCAGGCAGCTGTAACTAGTGACAGTTCGTCAGGATAAACTGAGAAAACTTAGTGTGCGCTGCAGTAAGAAGCTGAGTGTGTGAAGTAGCGAGAATTCTAGAATTTCTTGTAGTTATAATTTACAAGCGTCCAATAAATCCATGTCTAGTCACCAACACATGACAGTATTATTTGTCCCAAGCCATCATGTTGAGACATATGCCATCTTCTTTACACTTCTGTGAACTGACACAGATGCTCATGAGTGTTGCAGTGCATAAAAGCCAAAGCCGTCACAGTTTTTAAAACCCGCAAGTAACCAGACACCTGGTGGAGGTGTAAAAATATATCCAAGCATCAGATAACAGACAGGGTACACAGTAGTATAGTTGGTTGAGGGGCTATGCTACAAGACAGAAGGTCATGGGTTCAAGTCCTGATGAGGTCACTGGATTTTTCTCAATTGACCTAATCCTTCCAGCCACACTATGGCCCTGGGATCAACTCAGCCTCTAAGAGAAATGAGTACCAGGAATTAAATAATTTTCCTGGGGAGTAAAGCGCGGCTGGCACGTAAGGCTGACAACCTTACCGCCATCTTTGAGCCAATTGTCTAGATAAAGTGGGACCCTCAACGTCTCACAACCCTACGGGCCTTCACTGCCTGGTACAGGGATAGCTTTACTTTACTTTATCAGATATCGGACAGTGATGTCAGTTGGGATGGTGAGATAAAGGGTCTGGAAGAGACAAAAGGTGACCATTCCGGTAGCAGGGAAAATTTTCTGGGAACATGTTAGTTTTCCTTGGGAGTCAACATGTTACATGCCCAAATACTACAATAACCTGGGAAATGTCAGTAAGTGAAGAGTCAAGTCAGGTTCAGTATTATGACATTAAGGCACAGAAAATAAGCCAACTACTAACATAAGCTTAACTTACGTTTTGGAGAGCGCCAACATAGTCATCAGGAGCATGCCTGCTGAGGCTGTACAGCAACTTTGACTCAATGATATTCATGAAATTCTTCCTTAACATTTTGGCTGCTCTTTTGGCATCCTTCGTCAACCACCAGTGCTTGCGTGCTCGTTTTATGGCCCATGGTTCGTCAGTGTTTCTTGGTTTCAAAATCAACTCAATAGCCTAGTGGAGCAGATATAACATGGACTGACACCTTACATTTCCAGATGCTGAATTTGGCAACATAAATGACTAATCATCATACAAACAGCAAAAATGTAACATGCAGATTTTCAACCATAAATAAGATACAGCAAGATGTTGAAATAAAATGTAGGAAATGTAATTTTTTGGATGTATTTAACATTCATTACACAGAGGATTTTACAAGTAAACCAGATCCAAACTTTTCTAATGCATTTTATGGTCATTTTACAAATAGAACTTAAAAATATTAACATTTAAAAGGCAAATTCTAATCCCCATGACTGAGTAAGGTGGAATAGCTAACATGTTTTGTGTTCATTACATGGCAATGAAAATCCTATAACAAAATGTATCCTAAGATTCATCGTGCTTTTATTCATTACACGGGGGCACGTGGTAGGGTAGTTGGTTGAGGCACTATGCTACAAGCCAGAAGGTCATGGGTTCAAGTCCCAATGAAGTCATTGGATTTTTTCAATTGACATAATCCTTCCAGCTGCACTATGGCCCTGGGGTCGACTCAGCCTCTAACAGGAATGAGTACCAGGAATTTTCCTGGGGGGTAAAGTGCGGCTGGCATGTAAGGCTGACCTCACTGCCATCTTTGACCCAATTGTCTAGAAAATGTGGGAGCCTCAACGTCTCACAACCCTCTGGGCCTCCGAGGCCCGTGACAGGGATAGCTTTACCTTTTTTTTTTTTTTTTACCCTTTTCTTATTCATTACACAGAGATCAGTAAGCAAATTACAAAAAAAAATATATTTACAGCCTTTTACAGGGCAGGAGTTCTAGTGAACCAAACCTAAATGTGAAGTCTGTGATTCTCCCAGCAGAGATTACTAAAACTACAATCTTTCTGGATGTGACACTGAGTAGTCCAAGATTTCTGCAGAATCTCCTGCCTCCATCCTCATCTCCCCAAAACAATGTGACAAAAATCTAAACATGTTCTCAAATTTACCAGTTTGTATCAAAACGTTATCTAGCAGCTTGGCTGTCGAAACATACAGTCTGACACACCCAAGTTATTTTGCATGCAGTGACATCTGGCTGCACACAGCGTTAACTCACCTCTTTCCACTCTCCTAACAGCAGAGCTCGTCCTACTTCTGGTGTAGGAACTGATGATGAGCTGCCAAATCTTTGCAGACCATAGTAATTTATAAAACCTTTCTCTTTAAGGTTAGTCATTGCTTCCTCAATCTGCTGATCTGTTCCAGTAACATTCCTAAACAGAAATAACTCTCTATATTAACCCTTCTGAAGCATGACGTTCATCTAAATAATATTTAAAAATTCTGTTTATACCTCACAGAAAACACTTGCATCTCCATTACAAGGCACAAATGGTTAATGCCCTTTAGGGAAATAATCATAGTATATTGTGAGACTAATATGAAACACGTAAATACACTCTGAAGGCAAAATGCGGGTTGTCGTAATGTTACAGCAGGTGAGACATGCATTGTCATTTGTGCTTCCAAGGGTTAAGTTACCAAATGTATCTGAAAAATATGCACAAAACAAAACAAAACAAAACAAATGAAGAAAGGAATCTGGATTTTTGGTAATATTCACAAACTTACCGCAAAGAAATTCTGAATCTGTTTCCTTTCAGATCTCCCAATTTCAAGCATGTTGGTTTGTAGGTATAATTTCCTAGGGTCATGCCTTTCAAATCTTTACTCAAATTTGCCAGTTTTGTTGGGTCGATTTTAAAGACACTCATCATCTGGCTCGTCACAGCTCGGCGGTCCTTGGTGCCAGCATATGTTATGAAATTTGGCTTCACCCTAAACAAATTGTAAACCTCTCAATACCATTAGAAATTCTATCCTAAGGTATGCCTGCATAATAAGCTGTTTCACAGAACAAAGAGTTTCAACTATAATGAAGAGCGTTTAAAACAATAACTAAAATCCTTACCCTAATTTTCCTGCAAGGTAATTCACAGTTTCCTGTGTATCCATGTTCTCCTTGTGTAGAACGAAGTGAACATAAACTCCACCCCTGTCAGCAGGCCAACGAGACCTACGATCTTGCATTACTAAATAAATGGAAGAAACCAAACTATCATGTAAAGTGCTCAAGAATTATTTTAACATGACACATGATTGCCACTACACCTTCATCAATCTTGGAATAAGAAGCCATCCAGTGTAGGTAAACTTCTTAAGATAAACAATCTAATTATTTATATGTCAAGTCTCAGCCTTTCAGGGCTATTTTCAGAGGCTCAAGAGTAAATGGAAGTGCTTTACAATTTTTGATGATGTTACTATAATAACCTAGTCACAACAATAAAACAGATTAAAACTGTGGTTGTTTAAGTATTATCAGGAAAAAGGTTTCTTGTGTCTTGATGTATCTTCTGGCAGATACATTTTTTTGTTATTGGATATCCTGCTGGACCTGCGACACTGACACTGCAATTACGGATGATTACAATGGCTTTCTCACTGTTTGGAAACAAAGTCCTAAATTATAATACAAAGGTCTTGTACCTGAAACATGCCTGTAGAACCTTAGGGCATGGGTAATATTATCCACCTACTTCCAGATTCGTTACACATTTCACAAGGTCTCCACATCACAGATGAATAGCACTTACCTCCTTTTCTAGTCTTGAAGATTGTGATGAACTTCTTGGCCCCTCTATCTACTGTATTGCTGTAGACCTCCTTTCCAAAGCCATCTTTGATTGCTTCATGGATCTTACGTCTCTCATCTTTGCTTTTTTCAGTCACCTGACAGCATGATAATGATAGGGATACATTTATGAATAGAGGATACATGACATGTTCTATAATAATCACAATTACACTAAGTCACAACTGAAAGTTAACAATTATGAAACAGACGACTTCATTACCTCGATTTCAACATAACCCATCTTCGTTTCTACCATTGTGTTCAGCTTTTCCATTATTTCTGGTGTCAGAATTTCAATTATTTCACTTTCTGGTCTCTTATGCTCTGCAGAGTAAAAGGGAAAGGGTAAGTGAACATTCATCACAGGAAGAACACAGACATTACTGCTTCAGGGAATAAAAAATAACTCACTGGTGACGAGATAACGAGCACTACTTATGACAAGGTATATTGAAATACTGTACCACTATCATCCTTCATTCTGAGGATGTCTGAATGTTAAATATTAATTCCTAATACAAAAAATTTGCTTGAAAACTTCCCACCTAGTGTTCATTTTTCATTCACAACAAACTGTACAATTGTGACACTATTGCCATTCAAGGACATTTTCACAGTTATCACAAACAATTTCCTTTTGTCCTTAAATTTCCTTTTACTCTGAGAAAATCAATCTGAAGATGTTAACACCATGTTCCTCCAAAATGTTGATAACTACACATGAGGCTATGCAGTATCAAAGCCCAGAATACCACAACCTGAATCTACTGATGACACACACTGAAATATTCTCTGATGCATGAGATTAAACTGCAGTTTTTTAATAATGGCATTCAAATGCACAGGTTACTTACTTATGGAGCTGAGCCCTTCTGGAGGAGAAGCCAAATCTGCAGCTACTCAAGAATTTCAAAGCATTTTATAGAACCAAAAGGTTCATTACCATGTTCACAGGAGCCCTTCACTGGTCCCTATCCTGAGCCAGATCAATCCAATCCACACCATCCCATCCTATCTTTCTAAGATCCATTTTAATATTGTCCACCCACCCATGCCTTGATCTTCCCAGTGGTCTCTTTCCTTTTGGCTTACCCACCAATATCCTATAGGCATTCCTCTTCTCCCCCATTCGCACTACATGGCCTGCCCGCCTCATCCTCCTTGCACTGATCACTCTGATTATACTTGGAGAAGAGCATGAGTTATGAAGCTCCTCATTATGCAGTTTTCTCCAACCTCTTGTCACTTCATCTCTCTTCGGTCCAAATATTCTGCTCAACACCCTGTTCTCAAACACCCTCAGTCTATGTTCCTCCCTTAATCCCAGAGACCAAGTTTCACACCCATACAGAACCAGAGGCAAACTGCAGAGGTTATGTAATGTAAAACATAAGACATGGGGATGGGAGAAGGGTGGCAGCAAACCATCGCTTGGAAACACATGGCAAGGAAAGCCTTCACAAAGACAGGGCAGAGCATGCAGATCTATGTAACAATAATGTGTGTGCTGCATGCAACTGAATCAATATTTCCTTATTCAGAAGACCAAGTCATACTCACCGACATCTATGGGCGGTGCCAGATCAGTGAGTTTTGCAATACTTCCATCAAGAGTGATTTCATTTACATGAAAATCTGAAAACCTCTGTTTGATAATGCCACTGAAACCTTCATGTGTACTAATGTACTCAGTAATGCCAACATCTTTTTCCATTAGTTTGGGTTTATTTGCATTTGGAGTTAGTGAGTTCTTTGGCTTCTTAGATTGTTTCTTGGATGAACCGCGCCAGTGGGGCATGCCTCCTCTCATCATTCTCATATTGGGAGCCAATGGAAGCCTAGGAGGAAATCTGTTCATTCCTCTGGGAAAATTGAAGTTTGGTACAGGAAAACCGAAGTTTGCTGGTGGAAAGAAATTAAGTAGAGGGGGAGGCCTAATATTTCCCCTCTGCTTATAGTTTGGAAATGGTCCGCCTCCACGGAATCCCCTTCCACCACGCTGATTACGAAAACCACGATTCATTCCTCTTGTCATATTAGTTCACTCTGAAAATAATGAAAATCTCATGTAAATTTATACATGCATAAAATACCAGCACAAGTGTGTAAGAAGTTCCACAAGTTACTTTCAGCAAGAGAATGTCCCAAGCTGAAGAACAGTAATACTGCCTACACAGTACGGCAGTAACTCTACTGAACACACTGAATAAACACAGCAGATTTTTATGTTGAACTGTTCTGCAAAACTTCAGTTACGACAGCTCAGTCAGTACAGTGATGGACTACAGGCTGGACGGTTGTGGTTCCATTCCTGGCATGGCAAGATTTTCTCTCTTCTCCATGCAGCATCTAGGCTAGCTCTGAGGCCCACCCAGCCTCCTATCCAACGAGTGCTTGGGACGATCTCCCCAGAGGTAAAAGCAGTTGTGACACAAAGCTGACCACTCACTTCCATCCAATTCCAAGGACGAGAATGGTGGAGCTATACCTCACCCATACGCTTTCAAGTGGGATTTGTGGTGGACAAAGTGGGGCTGGGGCAGGCTTTCTCCAAGTACTTCGGTTTCCCCTGCCAATCTTCATTCCACCAATTGCTCCACAATCAACCTCACCTATCATCTGGGGCTGGTACAATAGGCCAGAAGTGACCACAGTACAAGGGCCTTATTCTCACCCCACTAACAATAAAAAAAATGGCCTTAGATTTCCAATTTTCAGGTTTTCAGTTACACTAAATGGTGTCTGGGTTGAGTATCAAAACCAGGATTTTGTACATAAATAAGCATGAGTTACTTTGATATTCAGTGCTTGATACTGGCCTTTCAGATCTATTTCCAGCAAAATTTCCAACAAATACTAGTGTTCACTGTCCATTAATAAAGACACAGCTCCTGTTATTGCCTACAACACCAGAGTTAAGTTTACGTTCAAGCAATGTGCTAAGATGGCGTAACGAAGCTCAAAAATTTGACAGACGCTCTTTGAGGTGGACGGCCAACTTTGTGTTCCAGCCATCTGCATCTTGAAAGAAAAGCTGTCTGCTACCGACCAGTAAGATCGAACATGACAATCAACAGAAAAATCATTAACTTTCCAACTAAAAATTGAACTACGTATGTCCATTTCATAACTACATGCTCATTTCCATAACACCTTAAATTATTTGACAAAGTGTTTTAGGAAAAGAAAAAATTGTAGCTTCAATTTCTGAAGGCTGGGAAAGTGGGAGTTTTCTAAGCATTTCATGGACAACCTTTTCAGAAGCAGCTTCAAAAAACAAGCCTGGAACCTCTAGAAAGCACATCTTAATGACATATAAATGTGTCCTAAAAAGGGTACTTATAAAATATACTTGTACAACATTGAAATGTCTGAACATGCCATGGAAGCTTGCCATGTAAATAAAATTGGAAACACATAAAGTGCAAGATGCAAGATACATGTGAACTGTATTAAATGCAGTATATGAAATCGGGAAAATTGGAAAGTTTACAAATACTGATACTAAAAGAAATATACTAATTTTGACAAAAGAATAAAAAAATACATGGTGTAATAAATATAATTTCTGAATTAAGCTCCATAGAATGAACATACATCATTCACAAAATGTGAGGCAACAAGTTCAGCAAATTTAAACCTAATTTCTTATCTCTGGGTCATGATTTGAGACTTGTGTTCACGTGTAGTCCTGCTTCACATATACATAAACAATATTTACTGCAACACACTACCTGTACTAAAATAAATTACTGTAACTGTACAGTGAACTAATTCTATACACGGATGTTTAGTCATTAAAGCAAAAGCTTATAAGCTATAGACTTAACAGAAGAAGAAGTAGTTATCGTATGTATGGCCATACTGTAGCACATAATGCGCCTAAGAAGAATAGTCTGCAATTCAGTTTTCATATGGCTATTACAGTTCACATTAGGTCAACAGGTAAAATTTGATATATTAAATGCCCAATGAATGAAAGTGATAAGGCAATTGGGCAATGGACAATAACAGTTACGTATTTAAATCATAAATTCTAGTCTAATATAAGTCATATTACAGATTCTCAACAGCTACAACTACTACAGGGCAACGCCAATCGCAACTGGGAAAGGCTGTTTATTATCTAACCTAACAATGCAAAAATCATACTTGGAATTTCTCCACCCATTGATATCTACAATAAAAGAAAATCATAAGTGCTATTACTTGCTTTCTTTCAATTCTTATAACGGCTATTATAATCCAAGATCAGTTTTACTATCACACAAATCAAAGAAACACATGCATTCACACGTACGTTTCCACCGCCAACTCCATTACACAACTTCACAATGTCACCAACATAATCCCCTTCCATCAAATATCATCAACCATAAATACAATTTACTTTGCCTTAATACGGTAAAACAAATACACAATTGAGTACGACGCTCTAAACCACTAATTAGTTTTCCGACAAACAAGCTGTATATTAAATATATAACACAACATATAATACGCGTTCCGTGTTATTATATGTGTTGGCAATAATTTCAGTATCGGTGGTTGAGAAAATCGATTCTTATCGAGTTAAATTTAATAGGTTGGATTAGGATGACGCCGCACAGGGAATGCAGAGAATGGAACTATGTACTTTGAAGGGGGGAAGGGGGAGGGGCGGTTATGGTGTATTATCTGGCATGGCTGGTAACGTGTGCATATGTGTTGGAGGACCACAGGGAAGACTCTTTACTTCGTTGACCGGTGCACCGCCGGCTGCCAGGCACGCACGAATTTTGCCGATGAATCAGTATACCTTTTTTTTTATTCTTATTGGGGTGATACTGAGTCCACTTGGTACTGCGGTAACTACTGGCCTATTGTACCAGCCACAGATGATACAGGATGGTGACTGTGGAGCAATTGGTGGAATTAGATTGGCAGGGGAAACTGAAGTACTTGTAGAAAATGTGCTGCAGTGCCACTCTGTCCACCACAAATCCCACATGACCTGACCAGGGCTACAACTCAGGCCACCGTGGTGGGATGGCAGCGACTAACTGCCTCAGCCATGGCACAGCCCTCAATATGCTCCTTGGCCGATAATGCTCAGAATGATGTAGTTACAATTCACAGTTCACAGGTGGTGTTGAAAATGCTCTCTCTCTACACGTAGATATATTTTGCAATTAATTGTTTAATTAAAAGACACAAATACAACAATCCTTGCACTTATAGCACCCCAGACACCAACTTTCACCAGCTGGAGCAGAACTTCGTGGGTTAGGTGTGGATTCAATGAACTTCAGTAGCAATTATTTTGTGTGTTTATGTACTCCTGCAAACAAAACCACGCTTCATCAGAAATAATGTCAATTGCAGATTGATCGCACCTTCAGCAACAGATTGGAGAAACCAACCGCAAAAAATGAACCCTTCAAGGTGATTCGCATGGCTTGCATAAATTGTTTTTCTATAGGGTCTAAACTTCTGCAATTGTGTTGCCCTTCTTGCACTAGACTTTTCAGTGATTTTCTAGGTGTATGTTCAAGTTTGGCTTCTATGTCAACTTTTCCTCAGTAAGCACTCGGCATTTATGAGAGTACTGGTGATCTAAGTTTACTCACCAAATTGTAAATTGTCTGTCTACTAGGAACTCTTTAATCACAAAATTTATGTCAAGAGCTTCTAGCAGTTCCATATTTCATGTGTGTCATACAGAAACATATTTTGCACTAAAACATACACACCATGACCAAACACACTGCTCACTAATTGTAACTGAGAACAAATGACTAATGGAGCAGAAAACTGATATAACAAATTCCCATGTATGAACCACATTGTTCACTGTGAAACATGATACCATCAAGTGGTCCACAGATTTAATAAATTCCCTTCATTCCAAATGTTATCAGCCATCAGACATACTAATTTATTGGAAAAAATCATATATGCCTTGCAGCCAATGGTGTACTGGTCACCGTGAAACGCAGAGCCCTGAACCAGTCAACATAATTAAAAAAAAAAACTCTCTATACTTCCTCCATCTTCCCAGCTCTGGTCTGAAAAATAAGCCAGATACTTGCTTTGTTTACTGCTTGACCCAGAAGGTGGCAGTAATGTTCCTCCAAAACTTCAGCAAACATCAACCAGACTACACAGTGTCACACCTCAGAAGACACTATTCTTCATAGTCACCGCTATGGAAACCTCAAATCACACACACAAGCCAAGGCTTTCCTGACCTAACCTGTTACGAATTCTTATTACTGTTTTGGCCTGTATATGGCACCCCTACATTTATCCCCCCACCTTCATACTGTGCACACACATTTCTTTGTGAGCTCAGTACTGGTTCTGTAATTAACCTTTAAGTGCCGAAGTGCCCCGTTTGTGCCAGCGTTGAGTAAGTTAATTCCATCCATTTATCATAAAAATTGAGCTAGATACAGCATTTTTAAACACAACGCTTAAAATTGATTAAGCACCTAACAGGAATGGACATTTAAAGGCAGAGTTCCAACGGGCATTTAAATAAACTCCGGCCAGCTCAAGCTTACCACTATTTGAAAGTCCGGCGTTTAAAGGTTAAACATAGCGGAAGCAGTAAACTTAAATGGATTAATGAAAGGCACGCACAATGTATGAAAAGAACTCACCCCATTAATTTCTTACACTTCTTGCACAATTTCAACACTTACAATAAGAAAATGATTGTTAAAACTTTCCTTAATTAAGTAAAATATAATTAAAATATTTAGCTCATTCATTTCTTGTGTCAAAGAGGATATTTGTGAGATATGAAGGTGCTCTGAAAATGAGTATGTTTCATTCAGCTGTCTTTTACTTAAAATACACACATCTATACTACATTACAGCGTAATAGAGGTTACACTTGCTACTTCTAGAGTTAAGGCAGAAAAAGGATCATATATATTTTAATAAACTGTCTCTCTCTTTGATTTGCACACTTTGCAACAAAGTAGGCTATTTATTCATTAGAGCAAAGTTCGCATCAGAACTTACAGTAATTATTAAAAAAACAGTGACAAGACTGAGGAAACCAGTGGAATAAGAGAGACAGATTGTACAAAATATAGTGACATCTGAACTTGGATATTTCACTAAAACAAATCGTTAAAATAGTTTACATACACAGTTCCAAGTATTTTAGCAAGATGGGTCCAATTCCTACAAACTCAGTTCCTACTGAACTACGTACTGCAGGAGGTCTTTATCAGCAATTACACAATTACAACGAGTATAGATATGATTCTACTTCAATAAGGAGTAAATAGTTTTACAGTAACTGGTGCCAAATTACATCATTAAAGGCATGTTCAAAAATTCTATGTCTGGCTGATTAAGGTACAGTAAGTAAAATGAAAATGCAACATTTGGAGCATCTCACACCATATCTATGAAGATTTCTATCTTGTGGGATGTGACACCATGTAGCTTGGCAGATCATTACAAATGTTTAGGGAAACCTGGTGCCTCCAGCTTCTGGGGTGAGGTAATGGTAAAGCTATCTCTGTAACAGACCCAGTGGGTTGTGAGATCTGTAGGCTCCCACATTTTCCAAGCAATCAGCTCACAGATGGTGGTGAGGATGTCATCCTTATGCACCAGCCACCCTTTACCCCCAGGAAGATTCATGGTACTCATTTCTGTCGGAGGCTTAGTTGACCCCAGGGCCATATTGTGATTGGATGGATTGGGTAAACTGAGAAACGCAATGACCTAATTAGGAATAGAACCCATGACCTTCTGGCTTGTGGGGTAAGTGCAGAAAAATGGTCTAGACAAACAAAGAGGGAGGCCTGGGGCCCAGACTGAACAGGAGTATGCAGAAAAATGTAAATAATTAAATTATAAGGGTTCTGCCGATGGTGGATGACACATAGAATTCCTGGGTTTTTGGATGTTTTACATTGTCCGGAATTCTAGGTAATAGAGGACACAATGTTTCGGAAACTGGATCTGTGTCCGTCTTCATGTGAGAAAGGAAGACACCTACTCAGATGGGTCCCTTAGTAAGAGCTAATCTCAATCACTGGACAACTCCTGTCAGATTTACCCAGCTATTTCAACATATAAGACTAGGCTAGTTCAGCGGGAGATTACCTAGAATTCCAGACGATGGAAAAGGTCCAGAAACTCAGTAATTCTGAATGCGAATAACGTTAGCCCTTTAGTAACAATCTATCATGCAACATGGGTTCACAAAACTATCTTTAAAATGAACATGCATCACTACAGCATCACTCACTTTTTTATAAATATTCCATCCTAGAAGTCCTGTATATGTGCGACTGTCACACGCAGGCATATCAACATTTTTTCATAATGATTCCATTTGTATAAACACTTTCATGTACAGTAGCTGTATCCCTGGCTTCTGTAAATTGGAACTATAACAAAGTGCCTGACACTAAAACTGATTTCATTTTAAAACAGTAAATTTATATTTGAATGGGCAACTCTGGATACAAATGTCAACTGTTTTTATATTTAATACTGCCATTCTTTTCTTCAACAAAAGACAAACATCTCATGTGAAATTACCACAAATTCCACTTACACATTTGATATGGATATAAATGACAGAATTCCAGCTGATAAAGATAAAGAATCCCACTCCTAATTATCACCACGAAACTTACTCGCGCCAACGATGACCACACTCGTGATTACAACATTTATAAAACGTAGTCATTGGTTCATCAGCTGACCGTGTCTGAATCTGCATGAAATAAGCCCTCGGATGGTGGCATTTAGGGCACCTTTCTTCAGTTGAATCAACATTATCCCAAGCAGCAGCACCCCCTAGCACATCATCAACTTCCTTCAGCTTTGGGTACGACCGTGTGCCCATACGGTGGGAAATGTTGTACACATAGGGGCAGGTATTGCAAGCAAATCTCAAACAATTCAGGCCTTCTTCAACACCAAGAATATTCGCACAAGTTGGACAAAACATTAACATTATGGGAGTACAGAAAAAAGAATTTAAAAAATGTTTGTAAATGTGAATTATCGGAATTGTAACAACTCTTAATACTATCTTAAAAGACACGTGAATATGAAAACTTTAAAATATGCTCATTTTACATAAATTCAATATATATTCAATTCTATGTTACAGTAACATACAAGGAATTCAGAAGAAAGACGGTATCTTCAACAATGAAATATATATCAAAATGAACACAGTATATAATGGAGGAAAAGTAATGACTCATACTGGAAACTAATAAAAACACATGTGGATAATTAGAAATAAACAGGAATACATGAGAATATCAAATAAATGGCCCAAACTAATGGAATTTATTTACAGTTGGACCACAGAAGTAAAATATCGAGCTCAAGTTAACATGTAAATTATTCAGTCACTGTGATAGAACTTTGGGTTCAGTGAAGCAAGTGTTCGCCTTTTGTCTGAGAATGGGCTGATGCCATCACGGCAGTGGTATCGCCTTTCAATCACTTTGTCAAAGAAACGACTTAGTTTCACAGCAGAGCTTGATCCAGCGGCCAGCGAACGTACCTGTCGGCAATCCTGCAAGAAAAAGCAACACACTACTTCTTAAACACAAATCAGCTCTTGTGTTAGGTAGTAATGGACATAAATATATATGGGATTCATTATGTAACTCGTCTTATCTCAAATTAAAAAACCTATGTTGAATGAAAACTTGTCTACAGAGTATAAATCTTCAGGATCCTTGCGATTCCATTGTAAGTAGGTTGTACTGTAAATCTAGGGTCCCCATGGTACCGAAGATTAAGACTATGGCATTCTGGGATGTGATATGTTTCACAACAGACTGCTGCCTGCATCTTCAAGACCCATGCTGTCATCCTAGATCACAATTTTCGGGTTTTGCTAGTATAGCAATAACGCACCACAGGAAAGGAATTAAGTAGAAAAGTCAAAATCATAATACCAGGAAAATTTCATCCGCACCGCACTCTTCTGCAATTGTAGATGATCTTCGATGGGAATGTGTCCTCACTTCCTCTGACAGGTCAGACTTTGTCCCAATCACAAGAATTGGAATCTGGACATACAAGTTCCATATGTGTGTTCAGTTCACAAACTAACATATCTACACTGAGAAATCAGTAACAGTTCAGTGTTAGGCATTATTATTATTATTATTATTATTATTATTATTATTATTACGTCCATGTTCACCCCGTTTTGGATTACTTGGGGGTGGGGACTGAAGCATAGAAAAAAGTAAACCATATGTACCTAATAACAAACATCAAAAGTATTTTTAAAACCAATTCTTGTTCTATCATGAATAGGCTTTCATGGCTTACACGTAAGTTTGTAACCAAGTTTTCTGGCTGCCCCCATCCCTTGTGGTAAACAGGCCAGCTTGCTCCCCCAGAAAACAATTCTCGCACTGCCCATGGTCATTAACATTGGCCTTCTAACTGATCTGGACCATCCACCTAGTTTTTAAAATGCATTTTCATCCCTTATGCATACACGCATCTGCAAAAGCTACATGCATCACGTGCACAAAACACATGGCATTCATGTCACCTGTGTGGATCCAACAAACTGCTCAGGATCAAAGTCATCAAAACTGGAAACTCGTGATTTTGAACTTCCGTCCTTATTTATCACCTCGGCCAGCCACTTCTGCAAATTCTGTTGAGACTTCCGATTTGTAAGATCATGTACTAAAATGATACCTGCAAAGTAAGAGAATCGTAATTTCAGTTACACAATTTACAGGTGGAGAGAGAACTCAAGGCTGTAACATGACCTATGGCCTCACAGTGGGAGGGGAGAGGGGGAACTATGTATGCACACAAATGTAAAGTTCAAGGACAATGGACAATTGTTAAGTTTGTAACTCTGAATCCCTTCTTGGATAAACCGACAAGTATTATTACAATGGAGCTCCATATTCAAGACAGAAGTGAATGATGACTATATAACATGCTTACTGGTAAATTTCCATGTTGACAGCTAATGACCCACCCTTTCCAGAGCTGAGTCTGCAGTCCTTTACATGACACTTACAGCTAACTTAATTAATGTTGAAATGAGGCTTTCCTGGCTTATTTCAAGACATGAAATTCATGGAAAATCTCTCATGATAACTGACAACTCAGCCAAAAAACTGTGTACCTTCAAAATACAAGTTTAGAGCATTATTGCTATACCAAATACAGACACTTTTGTAAGGATTAAAATGGAATCCAAAATCAGTGATAGGAAAGTGTGAGCAGCTCATCTTTCATATTCTCCATTCTACTGAACTATTTCCTTGCATTTACAGTATCCAGAAACAAAATATTCTGATTACATAGGCTTATATGAGCAACTTACCATGAGTTGGATTGTAGAAAACAGAACGAGTGTTTCTGTGACTGCTGCTTCCACCGATGTCCCAGAGTTCAATAAAATATGTCTTCTGATCAGGTGTTCCTTCTTTGTATTCGTGAAGTTTAACTTCCACTGAACATCCAACTGTCCAAGATGGATTGTTAATAGGCTGATGATGACATATCAAATATGTAAGTGATGATTTTCCAACACCTGATATAAGAAAAATACAAAGTAATAAGAATTATTAACGAACTCTACACATAATCACATCTCATGAAGTACACTGGGGGTCTAAGCTTCATACTACACTTACAGTGGATGCTTATGTTCCTCTCTGATTAAACTAACCATTTTTATCTATTGAATAGGAGGCTGTCCCAGCCATTACTGAATGTCATAAATGGATTTACACCTGGTCAATACATGTAAAAGCTTCATATATTATGGATATGATTTAAATAAAAACACATTTCGCCAGATGTCTTTGTGGTTGGTAATTGTGTATGCTATGGTGTGCCTAACCTACAGGTAATACTACCATCACCAGGAAAAAACTAATTTGTCTTAACCTCAAACAGAAACTGACTTATAACACTTCTTATACAAAGTGAATTCTACATCTAAAGTAACACTTTAAAACACATTACTGTCGAAGTTATATTTACATACATCATATGGATGAACTGCAAATTACGTAGGCGCAAAGTGTGAAAGACTGTCACAGATTCTTAGTTTCTGCTCTACGTTTTAAATTATTGCATATTTAACCTAACAGATTTTTGGGAAATGTCACCAAGCCTAACTGCTAAATGCTGCACACCACTGTGATAAAAATAAAAACGTTTTCATTAACGATCTTCACAAACTACCATCTACCATTTTTGGGAAGAGACCACAAGCGGTCTGCTTAACATACTTTTTTAAAATAATCTTCCAGTTAAAGATTTTATCAATAGATTAACATCATATTTTTACAACACACCCGAATCTCCAACAACAATAACTTTCACTTTGTCAAATGCTGCCATTAAATATACATATAATTACAAAACTGGTAACCGAGAATTTCTTTCCGCCACTTTCGGTATATGGTGTGGATGGTGTGTGTGCTGTATGACAGCGAGGCGGAGTATGAGAATGTGAATGTGATGTAATACACTGTGGTGTTATACTGTAACCGAAAACTTTTATATAATTACATTGTCTAATATTAACTTAAATGTATTAATGTTGTTATTAATGGTTCATTCATATATGCATAAATAATTTTTTTAAATACGATTTAAATTTTAGGTTAGGTTGGGCAGTTTGAAAGTTTTGAAATAGGAAATTAATTTATAGGTTACGTTATGTTCACAATGAATTTTTTTCCCAGGATTTTAGTACGAAAGGCACTGTTAACCGTGTTGATCTGATGAATTATATCCAAGGATGGGTGAAGAAAGACTTGTCACAGAGGTCCCAAGTAGTCTCAAGCAACTTGCCCGTCTTGTTGTTCGAGGATTTTATACTATTGAAGACGCTTTAATAGTTGATATGCTGGTTCGGAATCCATGTGAGTACATGTGCCTAGAGCGCTCTTTTGCCATAAGGTTTTGTTCATGGCCTAGGATATAATTCAAGATATGTGTACCCTTTGTACAGCCTGACAGGTGGGTATCAAATTTTTAGAGGGGCATACAGCCTCCACCTTCAGTACAGAGATGTGGTCATCAGAGTCATAACACTGTACAGTCCGGTAAGTGAATACCAGCGTTTTGAAGGAACATACTGCCTCCGTGTTCACCTTCTGTGTGGGGAATGTTTTACATTATATTGTTTCTTTTTTTAAAGTGAAGGGCTGTGATGACAGATTGAGGAATGATGAATTCAGTATTACTAAGGTCCATAAAGTAAACTTGCATGTAGAGCATACATCATCATACCAAGTGTGGAAATTAGCTACAAAAATAGTGAGTGTGGGTATATTGAGGTGGCATGATTGTCCAGTAAAGACCGCTGAATAATTTGGACAGGCTCACTGTCTTGCAGGCACTTTTGTGATTTGTGGCCAGAATACTCAGTGATTTGTTTCCAGTCCTTTACGACTGGAGTAACATCAGAACATTTCTTTTTCAGTCATAAATGGTTACAGTTAGCGCACCTTGGTACATGTTCCCTACTTAAGCTTAGATGTAAAAACTGATACTTCAGTATGGATATATGTGAGCTATTGCACATGTTCCATTCTTGCAGGTATGAAAGAGGATGACATCTGTGAACTTCTGAAATTTGAAAGGAAAATGTTGAGAGCTCGTATATCAACTTTGCGCAACGACAAATTCATACAAGTGCGGCTTAAAATGGAAACCGGCTTAGATGGCAAAGCTCAGAAAGTAAATTACTATTTCATTAATTATAAGGTAATGAAAACATATAGTCCCATAAATGCTGTGAACTACATAATCGTTGCTAAAATGTCTTATTGAAATCTCAATTCCAGTTTGTAGTTCGACTGTTACCGACTAATAAATTTACATTTTTTCAGACATTTGTAAATGTTGTAAAATACAAATTAGATCTAATGAGAAAGAGAATGGAGACTGAAGAACGTGATGCAACTAGCAGGGCAAGTTTTAAGTGTCCATCCTGTTGCAAGACATTTACAGATCTGGAGGTGATTTATTTTACATTACTTATTCTGTAATTCCTGTAAAATTTAGCTGAGATTGTGTCACTTCCCACATTGTTACTGTGGCAATAAAGAAGACTGAAGCTGTTATTTTATTCAAATGTTCACAGGCTGATCAGTTGTTTGACATTACGACACAAGAGTTCCGTTGCACATTCTGTCGAGAAGTTGTAGAAGAGGACCAGTCAGCTTTACCTAAAAAGGATTCTAGACTTTTGTTAGCCAAATTTAATGAACAACTTGAACCATTATACATACTGCTAAGGGAAGTTGAAGGAATTAAATTGGCACCAGAAATTCTGGAGCCAGAACCAGTTGACCTTAGCACAATAAGAGGGTGTGTACCTTATGCTTTGAGTTTGTAGCAGCTTCATAAATAGAATGAGGCACGAGATATGGGGTTCTCATGTCAGTGGGTATTAAAATTACAGTCTTCTGTGCATTACATACCAGAAGATTTTAAATCTTAAGTTCACTGTGAAGTGTATTGTCTTCTGGGATGTAATGCCATGCAGTCTGGTAGAAGTCCTCCGTTGTTTCAGACGAATGTATTCCTTCCATCTGCAGAATCCAAGACTAAGCCAACAATTAACCAGCAAGCAGGATCTGTCGAACTCTCCCACTTGACTTCCACTGTTCTTCCACTCAATGTATCTTCTTATATATTCTAGAGTTGGAAGTTAAGTGGGAGAGTTTGACAGGACCTGCTTCTTGCTTGGCATACTGCTCAACTCTGAAAATGGAGGCGGAACATTCTCCAAAATGTCAGTGGACCTCTACCGGACTACACAGTTTACATCTCAGAACACACTACTCTCTGTATAAAACACTCTTCACAATTTGAAAAGAAAAATTGCTATGATTCCAGTTTGGAGAACAAGAAACCAGCAGTTGGATTACGGCCTCCAGGTGATCACTGGTCAGGCGAAGCTACAAGAACACAAGGTTTTGCAGTCGAGGAAGCTCGTGTTGATGTTATGATTGGTGATGAAGGCATTCAGGACCAGACTGCATTTAGGAAGGAACGTCCAATTTGGATGACTGAAAGTACAATTATCTCCCAGGATACAGTCATGGTAAGAATTCAAAATTTTTGGCAGCATATTTGACAAAGAGAAACTTGTTAAGGTATATTATTGACTTCAAGATTACCATCTTCTGAGATGTGATTGTGAGATTGTGAATAGATACAAATGTTTTTGGGGCAGCAGGTTCCTCAAGAACTTTGGAACTACTCGTACACAGTGTCACATCCCAAAAGACTGTACCCTTAAAGTTCCCTGCTGTGAGAATTTTAAAATACCATATGAAAACCATGTATAGGTGGGTGGACAATATTAGAATGGATCTTAGAGAGATAGGATGGGATGGTATCAATTGGATAGATCTGGCTCATGATAGGGACTAGTGGAGGGCTCTTGTGAACACGGTAATGAACCTTCGGGTTCCATAAAATGTTGGGAAATTCTTGAGTAGCTGGAGAATTGGCCGCTCCTCCAGAAGGGCTCAGCTCCATAAGTAAGTAAGTATGAAAACCATGCTTTAAATATTCTTGCACGTTAATACTCTTTCAGAAATTACTCAGGAAACAAGGGATCTTTCAGATATTTTCTTGTTTATTTCAGAATGCCACACCAATGGGCAGTCTAGTGCCTGGTTTAGAAACAAGCAACACTGATAAGGCGAATGCTGGTGCCAAGAGTCAGGAAGACATAATGTCCGTATTACTAGCTCATGAGAAGAGAAGTTCAACAGCTGCCGCTGTAAAGGCAGTGATCCCTGGACAAAATGACAGTGCCAGTGAGTCAAGTGCAGACGAGGATCTCAAGGAGCTGGATGCTTCAGAGCCAGGTGAATTTCTGTCTTCCTTGAGGATTTCCAGCCAGAATGTATACACACTTCTCCCTCCCAACATCATGTATATCGCTGATTTTCTGTTTCAGCTGAAATTGAGACTATGGATTCTGATGATGATGATGACCTTATTCCGGTAGTGTCAGTTGGGGACAGAAGTGTGCCTGTAACAGAAGTCAGTGACTCGTTGATTGCAGAAATGACACCCGCAGAGAAAGAAGCATACATACAAGTGTATCAGGAATACTATTCCCACATGTATGACTAGAAACAAATTATAATAAGATTGCCACGTTTAAGATAGAGAGTTGTGACTGAAGTTTATTAACTTTTTATACAGAAGGTAGAAGGTCGTCTGCCCTGTATTCTCTGTTGAACCTTCATTTAATGTGTATTACTGATGAATTATCAATACTGCTTTCTGATGGCTGACTGTAATAATGTTTGCAGACGGCAGTAGTAACACATCAGACCAAAACCTCGTGAATAAGATTTTTTTCATTCATTATTATGTGTATTACATTCAGGCACAGACAAACTAAATGATGACTCTACTATTCAAGTATCCATAACATATTTCATGCATGTTTCATTTATCTGAAGAATACATTGTCACATTTCACCATATTTTATATTTATGCTACTTTATGGTAAAAAAATATAAATCAAAATAAACACTTCTCTCTCATTTTAAGAACAGTTTGAACCCTTTCAAGCAAATACAGTATATGCTATCCCAACATCTGACTGACAAAAACCTCGGTCACGGTAATTGCTCTCCAGGTCAAGATTTGAACCCATGATCTCCTGAATATGAAGACATGCTACCCACTTGATTGAAATGTTTGGTCATCCCTTCTTACAGAAGACAGGTTATAATACTTTGCTGACTGCAGAGTTCAGAGATGAAGGGCGAGTAGCAGGGAATACCAGAGGACTACGCCGTGTTCACTAGAATGATGCAGGAGTTAACCGATGTTTTGGAGGAACGTATTGCCTCCATCTTAAGGGTAGAAGGAAAGATAAGAANGAGAAAGGCAAGGTTAATGGGAGGGCATTAACCCTTAAGCTTGGGGGGGCTGCTATGTGAGTCGGTCATGGACTGTGAGGCCTTGTGGATCTGGCGTCATGTCCCGGGGGCCTCTAAGGGAACAGATGAGAGGATTCCAAGACTTGCTGAGACAACCACCCCCCCTTTCTGTTCATATTGTCGGGATGGAGTTCAATCTCAATGGCTTCCCTAATGATGCGATCTATATATCAGGTCATGGTGGCGAGGATGGAGGTATTCTGAAGCTGAATGCAGTGTCCCAAATCGATGCTGTGTTCAGCTACAGCTGACTTATCTGGATGTCTGCCAGCTGTTGTATCCGTTCTTCCTGAATACATCCCCCAGGAGCACCAACTCCGCATGTAGGCTGTCTTGATCACAAAGAGCTCTAGCCCTGTGCACCAATGTGGAAAGTGCAGCTTGCTTGTTGTAAGGGTGGTGGTGGGACGCAGCGTTAAGGTAGGTTTGTATGGGTGGATTTGTGGTACACACTATGGCCCAGAGAACCATCGGGTCTCCTGTAAATATCTATATCCAGGAAGGGGAGGTGACCCTGTTTCAGTCTCCATTGTGAACCACCTAAACAGTATCCACCAGAGCGTGAAGCTGACTACTCACTTCCATCTAGTGCAGAGGTCAAGAAAAGTGGAGCTATACCTCTACTCCCCCACATGTCTTCAACTTTACCTTTACTGTTAATTCACTGAATTAAAAGGTAAAGTGTGTGTCCATGATTAATTAAGCACCAAGCTATGAAGAGATGTGAAAGCAGAGGACAACTTCACCATTCTCAACCTTGGCACTAGCTGGAGGTGACCGGTGAGCTCCATGCCCTCACTGCAGTCCCTCTAGTACACATGGAATGGAGGCTGAGTGGGCCCCAGAGCCAGTCTGGACACTATGCAGAAGAGAACCCTGATTCCTGTCTCCCAGTCGCTATACTAATGCGCTCAAGTATACTGTAAAAACAGAATTGCTCTTTTTGGTGGGACATTCTGTTCATGTTTAGAATGTCCCTTTGCAAAGTAATGTCATCAAAGCTTAAAAAAATTTTCCCTTGCTTAATGTTGAGTTTCAAAGTAAATCCCAGTGTCACATTACATCCATTTAAAATCTCCTTTCAGTTTCAGATGTGAGCTGGCATAGTGACTAGCTACAGGCTCAACAGCAGAGGGGGAGGAGACGGAAGTCCCGGTAGGGTGAAAATTTTTATTTCCTTTCCATGTTGTCCAGACTGATTCTGGGGCCCATCCAGCCTCCTATCCAATGGGTACCAGGCACTCTTCCCTTCCTCGGGGGCAAAGTGACAAGGGCATGAAGCTGTTTTGATCATACATCAGAGGGAAAGTTCTCATGTTATTAAGAAGATATCACAGTCAAATTAATGTCAGATATGTTATGTCCATGAGATCCATGAGTTGTGTAATATCATTGAATCTATACCAACAAGCACTGCAATGACATACATTATTGTACTAAAATGTATTCATTGGCAAGCTAAAGTACCTATTGTTCACCTGAAAAATGGTCACATTCCTTGTCGATTATCACAATATACAGTAGCTAAAACTAAAAAAAAAAAGGAGTAACACTCAAACTGATAAAGTTTACTGATGGAAGTAAAACAGAAACTGGGAATGTGGAGTCAGACCACGTACAGAAACTGCAGTACTTACAGCCATGGCTTACTGTACATACTGACGTGGAGTATAGAGTAAATTTCATAATATCTCCCTATTAGGTCTGCAGTAAGAATTGGGAAACAGGAAAGTTACATTATTTAAATAACTTTGTAAATAAACCATTTCCAGCGACAAGGAATATATTGTAGATGCATGTTTGCCTGCAAGCTCTACATGTTTACATCACATCTTGCATATGTTTACAGTGAGGAGATTTCTCACCAAAACAAAATCATAAAGTGACTATGTAGACACAAAAGCATCCAAAATTTGTTGCTTTTGCATAGATATTGTCTGTTGGCCACAGAATGAACACACACATAAACTGTGTCCATAGTAACTCCAGGGAAACATCATCAAATAGTGATATATATATCATTATGTCATCGTTACGAAGTTACTACCAGGAATCTCCATTCACATGGTTGCCTATTCAAGATATGAAGTGCCCTGAAGATGTTTCACACAAAACAAAATGTAATATACAGACATGTCTTACTACAAGCAGGTTTTAACCAGAAGTGAGCCACTGTCCCATATTGCAACATCCTCCCATGCCTCAATTTTCTAAAAAAATGTTATACCAAGTTTAAATTCGGGGGGAAAAGCACTGGATTGTTATCAGCATAACACCATATATAAAAAATGATCAGCACATAAGGTTCATATAGAGATTTTCTGTGTATGTCATGACCACCTCTCAAACTGTACAACTTAAAAAAAAAAGGTTTGCACAGCTGTTCAGCAGCTGACTATGTCACAGAAGGGGTGTACAAGCCACTGCACTCCAACTGGCTGCCGAGTTGGTTTATTTTATACAGCATTTCAGTAGCTCACACATCTCATACCACCTTTCTACCAAAATATCCTCTAAGATTCTCACAGATCATCATCTTTTGGGACGTAACACCATGTCGTGTGGCAGACTAGTATTGAAGTTTTGGAAAAACCTGCTAAATCCATCTTCAGGGTAGAAGACTCATGATGAAGACAGCAGGTTCCTTCAAACTCTTGGTGCCTATCAACCATGCTACACAGTGTAACAACCCAGAAGACTGTGACCTCAGATATGCTTTGTTCAGTTCATGCTACACAGTGTAACAACCCAGAAGACTGTGACCTCAGATATGCTTTGTTCAGTTCATGCTACACAGTGTAACAACCCAGAAGACTGTGACCTCAGATATGCTTTGTTCAGTTCATGCTACACAGTGTAACAACCCAGAAGACTGTGACCTCAGATATGCTTTGTTCAGTTCATGCAAAAGCCTCAAGTCAGTCCACCTATGATACCTGAAACAGAAGAGCTGTCACAGCTCCCACTTCAGTCTGTTCTACACACTCAAATATGTTGTAACACTGTCAATGTCTAACATCCACAGTAATGAAAGTTTAGAAGTGGAACTACATGACCACATAATCAAACAGGTATAAAACAGGTGTCAAACTGATTCTGCTGTCTGTCCAACATACCTACCGTTATTACGACATTTTCAGTCCACATACAATAAAATTAGGCTGTATATGCGTGTATATATATGAGATATTATGATGATTCCCAATATATTAAGTCTTCTTCCCTGTGCAGTACCAATATGAAACTGGTCCTGTCTTCATAACACCAGATACAACTACCACTCCTAAGCAGTGGTCCTTCGTTAGATATCCTGATGGTACAGGCAGACACGAATATGTTTTTACATGTCCTTAAGATGTACACCAGCTTCTGAATCCAGTATCCAGTGAAGGGTACCGTCTGTTGGCTTCACCCGTCCAGCCGGCAGGGGCTCGTTATCCTTCAGTATGCGCTGAAATGCAAAGGTTAAACTCCCTCAATAAAAGAGCTATCATTCAACCCTCCCTAGAATGTTCTTTGCATGTATGAATCAAACGCAACCAGTCTGAAACGGCTGCATTCTCTCATTTATTTACATTAACAAAGCTCTTACAGATGGCTAATGGTGAAAGATTTCAGGGGGTACATAAAAATTGTGCCATGCATACTGTTGAGGATTTTGCTGTAGCTATAAATTCAGTGCCATAAGTATACAAGATAAATACAATCAAAATAGTAAAGAAACTATATCAGATTTTGGTTCTCTTGGTAGTGAAGACTTATAATATGGTCTTACATTTATGACACCATATATTCTGGTAGGTGAGCATCAGTGTGTTAGGGGAACAGACTGAAAATGGATGGAGCACATTTCTTTGGATCACTGGTACCCACCTACCACATTAGATAGCGTCACAACCCAGGAAACCAGAACAAGAAAAACAAACTCGTTTAAAAAATCTTCCAGATCTGACTAAGATGTAATACCTTGACCACTTCAGCCTTTGCTACTCCTGTAACAGCAAACACGCAGTATTCGGCATTGTTAACAACTGGAAAGGTGAGCGTTATTCTTGATGGAGGTGGTTTGGGGGCATTAGTAACTGGCGCAACCCACACTGAGGTCTCATCACAAATACGGTGTCCTGGGAAGAGGGAACATGTGTGTCCATCCGGACCCAGCCCCAGCAGCAAAAGGTGAAACCGTGGAAGTGAATCAGGTGGGAAGTACACTGCCATTTTCTGGATGTAATCTTTGGCTGCTGCTTCGGCTGTATTAACAAAACAAAAGAACTTCAACCTCTCTACACTGTATTAACTTTCATGGAAACAAATCCCAGTATTATGGCGCACAATATGTTAATTATCATTCAGTTCTTGGGAAAAGAATGCAAGACGGATACTCACACCATGGCCTGTGTACCACACCTGTTCCATGAAGGACATCCATAACCCAGAGACAATTTGTAAAATAATCAAAGCCATACTTTAAACAGTGACACCTCAATTTAAATGTATTCATTGGATGTACAAATTTGTTTATAAACTCTGCATCCATGATGGTAAATGTCCAAGCTTAAAATAAGTCTTTTAGTTTCCTCAACACATTTATGTAAAAGAATACACACACTTTGCAGATTTTGTTTGTTATACTTCATAATTGATGATAATGTACATTACCTGATCACTGCCAAATATGTGCAAAAGTAAGTATGTAGACAGCGGGACTGCATTTCGTTAGAAGTTGACCACATTTATGTATGTATTCTACTTCAGCCATCTTAGTTTGTTGAACAATGTTCTCACACATTATCTATACATCTATCTATGGCTCTACAGTCCTTTTGTTGGGCCTTGGTCGCTCTTTCAGTTTCTTAAGCCTGTACACAGTCTGTAGGACTCCTTGGATGGGGGATCAGCCCGTCACAAGGCAGCTACCTACACATAGAACACAAACACAGAATAAACACACATATCCATGCTTTGCATGGGATTCGAACCCACAATCCCAGCATTCAAGTGAATAAAGACAGTTCATGCCTTAGACCGCGTGGGAACCATGAGTGGCTTCTCACATATTATCGGCTATACAAAATAAATCTGTTTAGTTTAATTGAGAACAAACATGTTTGTAACGAGAACTAATGTTACAGATAAAAAGCTAAGTAGTCCCCATGCTTAATTAAGCATCACATGATGAAGATATATGGAAGACTGAAGACACAGCTCCACACATGACTAACCACAGAACTACAGACCCAGCAACCGTAAGTTAGGTGGACATCAGAGAGAGCCTGGATGCAGTAGGGAAGGAAAAAAAATCTCTGCCCTGCTGGAAATCAAACTCCAATTCCCTGGTCATCAGATCTGTAGCCTAGTCAAAACAATTGGATTTTACATGGAAAATAATATAATACAAACAATAAAACATTTAAGCCACTTCAGCAATAAGCCCATCATGAGTTTATCATCAGTATTAGAAGCACAGAGTTTTTAATCCCCTTTGTATAAGATACAGACTGATACAACAAAATACATTCTACATTTTAACTAGCATAGCTGGAGATTAAATCGGCTTTGCATTGCATTGTAAGTTAATCAATGTCCTGATATGACAAAAAGATTATCATCAGTTACTGCATGAGGCAATATGGATAATATGAATAATGAGGAGCCTGGTGAAAGTGAATTGTTTTGTTATCTTATCCATCACTTCAATGCATTTCATACTGTTGATGTCAAACCACTGGACATCAGACATCCTCGGGTTTCTCATGGTTTACCCTCAGCTGCCCCAGCAAATACCACAATAATACCTTCCACTGCAATGTGACCAGTTCCCTATAAATTCTTTCCAGTTTGTTGTATTAATTTATGATTGTCGCAACGATAATCATATATCTGCATAAATTTGATATTTGTTCTTCATTTGTCATCTTATCGTTTAACACTACATAGTCTGAGCTACAGGCAATGTTGTTAAATACATCATAAATAAAAAAAGGATTAGGAAACAGCCAGGGAATTAAGAATAGCTCAGTCAGCAAAGCAATGGCAACAGGCTGGGCAGCTGTGGTTTGATTCCCAGTAAGGGCAAGAGGTTTTTCTTTTTTTCCCCACAGCTTCAAGACCAGATCTTGGGCCCACTCAGCCTCCCAGAATATGGACATACACTTATAAATAATAAAGTTAGGAAAATTCGTTGGTGTATAATGAGAATGACTTGCAGTAAGTTGGCTACTTGGTTAGTACAGAACTTTTACATCTATAAACATAAGGCCAACTGCATGCTAAACAATACCCTTAACAGGACCGTAAGTGTGAGACCATTGTCCTACCTGGTAAATGAGGATCGATTTTTATAAACTGGTGGTCAGTTAATGGTAAAGTTCCTATCAGTGCGTTCTTGTAGATTCCGTACGTTGAATCTGCACTCTCAAACGGTACAACCCTTTCATCACAAAAAAACAATCTCCATTTTGACCAGTCGGTATCAATTTTTGGCAATCCAATGGATAAAATCTTTGTGAGTGATCCACCTGAGAACAGGATGAATGACACGATACATATTTAAAATGGCCTACTACAATTTGTATGCCTTTCAAAATATTCAATGACTTATATATCTGAAAACAGCGTATACCTGACAGTCCAACTTTGAACACATCATCCTTTTCTATTGCTTGCTTTGAGATGTTTTCGATCAAATTGCACACTTCTGTAATTACATGTTGTTCATCCTGTATAACAGTCACCACTCTATTTGTAGACATTCTACGAATAATTCTTAATATTATTACTATTATAGCTTAATCATCCACCCAATATTCCTGGATAAGACATTTACTACTTCCAACACACTTATCACTCTCTGAACCGTACCGACCGCATCTGCCCAATCAGCTGCGATCAGCTGCAGTAATGCGATAACGGCAGACGACAGACACCCGGTATCTGTACACGAGAGAGAGAGCGAATGGCATGTCCTTTTTTTTTTATTAAATGTGGAATCGATGTGTAAGAAATTTAGAAACAAACTGGGTGTCTTATAAATACGGAAATTTCTAAAACCATTCTACGACCAACATGCCTACCCGAAATTGCTCCCTCTTTGGATTTGATCTGTGCTTTTTTTTTTTTCCTCATTGGTTCATGATAAATTACTTCATACGGCGGAAAATATAAACATTTTAACGGCGCATTCGGCATTGAGAATTAATACGATATAAGGCTTTAGCTGCACATGGATATCTGCCAAGCAATTCCAGTATTTTTTGAATTAACATTAGAAATTGTAATTAAAACGACTTAATGCCATGTAAGATTTGAGGCTTTCACGGCAGTGACTATGAAGAAGGCAGTCTTCTGGGATTTTGCACCGTGTACACCACATATACACGGTGCAAGCACTGTAAAGCAATTATGAAAATCAAAGCTGGTGTAACTGTAGATATAATGACAAGGCTACAGGCTGGACATCCAGGGTTCATTCCCAGTTGGGCCAATGATTGTTTGAGCCACAACCAGACTGGCACTGAGGCCAACATCACATCCTCTCCAATGGTAACGAGGGATCTTTCCCTAGGCGTGAAGTTGACCACTCACCTACTTCTAGTGCTGGGGTTGGGTATGCGTGGGCCCATACCCCCACAGGCCGCATAGTACATGGTACTTAATTAAAAACAGGCACAACTTTATTAAGATCCTTGTTCTTGTCTGTAATTGTTAAAAATGCCCTGTATTTTCAATTTTTTATTTCATGTTACAATTAAAAATGAACTGAAGTGAAATTATGAAGTTCCCTAGTCCCAACACTGACAATCACTTAAACTTGAAAATTCAAAATGATCATACATAACAAATTAAGCACAATGTGTTTCACAAATTACACCTCTGTTATTTAGTACTAGCAGGGAACTAACTGTTCAGAGTGTACTCAACAATTCATGCAATTATCAACAATGATGCTGACCTCTTCCCAATACCCTTGCTCTGTTTCTTAATCTCATACTCATCATCCAGATGCTAGTTTTAGTCTAATAAAAATTCTGGATCACAGCTTCTTTTCTGAACATTTATAAAGTAGCGGGTGTCTTTTTATCATCCAACACTTTAAAACTTACATAACTTCCTTCCTAGTGAAAACAATAATACAAAACTTTCATAGCTCAATCTACACACCTGGGAAATTTGTCTGTTGCCACTGCCAAGACCGAACTGAGTAAAAAGGTGGAGCCATGTATGTGCACTTTGTCCACTACAGTTTATAGATTACACAATAAATTTCCCATATAATGAATTTACATAAAGCACAAACCTTACAACAAAGAAATTTCCATATCCCCAAAAGATATATTCCATATATATAAAGGCCACATATATATAAAACTTGGACAAAACTAACTCTAATAATGGGATTCCCTGAATTTCACAATATGGAGGATTTACCTTATCTGGGCCCTTCACTATTTCATACATATTATGAAACGAGAATGTACTATAGGTTAGCACACTGAAAACTCATGGAGTGCAGCATATCGCCCTGTAACGTAGTGATACAACTGCCTTTCAATATCCCCCAAGAGGCCAGAAGCTCCAATACGAAACAGATCAGGATACAACCAAGATGTTCCAAGTTCTTCCTTCATCAGGATTAGCCAGTTAAGGGCATCTTTAGATGTACGAATACCTCCAGCAGGTTTAAAGCCAACCTAAAATAAATAGGAAGTTCCATTATCTCAGTATCGTGCACTATACTGAGAGAGGAATACAGTGGTCTGATATGTTACGCTGCGTAGGGTGTTACACAATTTACCAACATTTCAGAGGAAACTATCTACCAAACAACATGGAGCCACATCCCAGAACACTGTATCTTTAATACTCACTGTAGTGAGACCCTCAAATCTCATATATTCAGAACATTTTGTATTATTTAATGTATCTAATGAGGACAGATATTCCGCATCACAAGTGCTCTGCTCCTCAAACAAACAAACAAACAACTCAAACTCTGCGGTTTTAGTCTGCAAGCATGGTCAGCGCAACGAATCCCCATGGCTGTTAATTTCGGTTTTCTAGACCGGAGCCCCTATTTCCTTGAAATAGCTCCTCAATTATCATCATGAGGCTGAGTGGACCCCGTTCCAGACCCACTACTTCTCAGAAACAATCTGGTAGCACTGGGAATCAAACCCAGACCTTTGGATCTGTAGCCAAGAACTCTAACCACTAGACCACAGAGGTGGTCACTGTTCTGCTACTCAAACACCAGAACTCACATTACAAGTTTTCTACTTGTGGGAACTTCTAAACAGCACCGTTCATGATCAGCTGCTCGTAAAATCTGAGTACCACACAATAGGACACTACTTGAAATGTGCCTGAAAAACTTAATTACTTGATATGTGTATGCATAATAATGAGTCTAACCTTAGGCATGCTCTGTCATCTGATACCAACTTGGAGTGCAGCTAGTTCGGATACATATGCAATAGCATAAAAATTCTGCAAGACCTGAGGAAAACCTATACATACCACAAAATCAGTTTTATTTTCCCCTGCAAATTTAATCTGAAATACTTTTTGTCCCAGCGAATATTTTGTGAGGCACACTAAATATGGCACAGAAATGCACATAGTTATTCATGCAAAATGCCTGTTACTGTTGTTGTCTGATGCTTAACAAAATTGGAATATATCAACAAAATTTTCGAAAATCTACTCCGTGGCTCTCAAGTTATTATAAGCATGCACACGGACAGTACATATGCCAGTGTTACAACTTTTCATTGTGTATGTGCCAGTAGCAAGTAATCATCATCCTATTTTATAATGGGCAATACTGCATAATTTTAAGTCACATTTACCTTATATCCAACTCGCTGGTAATAATTACGTATTGCTCGGCACATAACAACACCTACTGGTAATGTCGCATTCACTGCTTCTTTACCTAGGCAATTTGAGGAAAATATGAGAACATTTTATGCCTTAAAGTTAGTAACAACAAACAACAATAAAGAATTCATCATATGACCCTCTTGCAATTATTCTCAGAATTTACAAACCATTAACCAATTTTCAGATGTTTTATTATAAGAACGGTTTTCTTTTGATTGTACATATCCTTAGAAACTTTAATGCTACTATCACTTGTGAGATAATACCTTGATTTGTCAGTGAAATACAGAAATATACTTTTACTAACATTAGTGACTTGCAGCTGCAACATCAGCAATGTTTCTGTTCATAGTTTGGAATGGGTTAAGAGCCAAGAAAGTCACTAAAAATTACCCACACTGCTTGTCATCACTGTGCCAGATCATGGCTTCACATTTCAATTTACATAATTATGAAGAATATAAAAACCTTATTCACATCACTGGTTACGCAGCATCTGTATTTTTAATGACTGCTGTATTCAATATAAAATACCAGTGTCTGCTGCCTAAAAATTTATTTTTACACAAATGTTATAGCAGAACCACATCATATGAACACATACATAAACAAATACACTAACAAAACCATATAAAAGAAACCATCTCGGATATCAAGATATATTGGAAGTCAGTGCAGGTGGTAATAGTTCTGACTTCAGCTCTGGAGGCACCCAGTTACAATGTCCGCTGAATGACTATGCTGACTAAGGATTTTAATAGTTTTCATCAGTCTCTCCGGGAAAATGGCAGGGCAGGACCTGTAATTAGGCTATGACTGCTTCCTTCCACACGCATTCCTATTTAGGGGTGGACCCATGGTGGGTTTCCACCACAGCAGTGATGAAGCTACTGATTCTCTTACAACAAAGAATATCTTCAACTGCTGAAGGAAGATACTGCACCACGCAGATATATTTTTATATATAAACACACACACACATAATGAATTTTCTGAAACTGAACAAACCTGTAGAAGTCTTAATGAAATCTGAACCAGCCATCATAGCCACAAGAGCAGCTTTGTATACATTGGTCAGCGAACCCAGCTCTCCGACTGCTAGAATGGTCTTCATGTGAGCTTTCGGGCCGCATGCTTCTTTCATTTGTTGGATCTCTTGGTAGAGTTTTTCCCATTGATGAGTTAAAGCCAAACTGCGATCTATTACTATGTCAATCTCAGTTGCGCCATTTTCAACGGCTGTTCGTATTTCTTCCAAACGTGTTCTCAGTAAGTACTGACCACTAGGGAAGCCTGTTGCAACTGGACAAAAAGAAAACTATAAATAAAACTAAAAAGTGGGCTTATGCTGTTTAAAGTTATGATGACATTTATGTAACACAGTACAGTGAATGGAACTACATTCCAGGTAAACTCAGAACCGCATTTTCCGGTCTAATATCCGAAGTAGCAATGCTTTTGATAGCAGTGTCAGAATAATTTATGTGATTGTGCTGTAACAAGACTATACAATTCTTTATTAAGTCGATCACAACACAACAATACAGTGTTCAAGGCTAAATTAGCATTGCTACATGTTTCGGCTATTCATAGCCATCATCAGGTAGTAAAGAATAACAGCGGCATGCACACAGGAAGACTACACAGGATAACACCTATACAGTGTGGAAACAAGAACTAGCCGCTGCAGCACTTTAGACATAGGGCGAGTAACCCTAACAATTTTAAATTTAAAATTTAGAGAAAAATTTTAAAAGATTTTAAAATTAGAACTAAAGATTTTATAGTGCTACTACAGGAACGTCAAAATTAACGTGTGTAAAATAATCTACAAACCAGACAGATATCAACGAAGTAGATGTTGATAATAACAAGGAAAGTGTTTTAAATGTTAAATTTTGGGCTGGGTGCAGTGTGACAGCAACGTGAGTGTTATACACCTGATGATGGCGGTCTGAGGCCGAAACATGTAGTGTACAGGAGCAAGATCAAGGACGCATAATATACTGTTTGCACTTGGGACGGAATTTGTATATATCATTTAACATCTGTGATGTTCCTTATTGGAACACATTTTTAATAAACCAATTCTGTAAAATTCTTGAAATGTATATCAAATTCATTAATGAGAAGCAATTTGATGTAAACACTGTGACAGTGCTGAAGGCGGCAATCTTTCTGCTCCCATTAAACAACGAAGTACCTGATGCAACAGGAATCCTGTCAGCCACACCCAGCTTCTTAAGATTACTTGTGGCATCAGCCACACGAGCAGGATACACACACACTGCAGCAGTGGTAATCCTTTCATCATTTTCATCAAATCCAAGGGCTACCAAAAGATCAGTTGATAACGGATGTGCTGCCTGCAGAGAAAACTTGCAGTTACATTTTTCTGCAATAATTCTTTTTCTGTGTTTAACTAGCAAAAGAATATAATGATCAACCTGTAACTGACAGAATGAAATAACTATCAACTGAGATTCAAGTTCTTGTAACAGTGTTTATTAACTCTGCAATCTTCTTGAACGTTATTCTGTGTTATTTGGTAGACAGGATGAGTCTTCTAACTTGAAAAAGGAGGCAACATGTTCCACTGAAATGTTGATACATATCTACCAAACTACAATGTGTCACATCCCAGAATAAGCCACATTTAACAAACTTACTTTATGTAAAGAAAATTATTAATACTAAAGGCATAAGCTGCTGATGATTAAACACACGTGACTGTTACCTTTGCACAAAGCCGTGCTATGTTACTTGCTGTGTCATCACCACCAAGTGTTGTCAGATCAATGCAGGTTATTGCACGCAAGAGCCACGCAGCCTGCCATTCTTTTTTGACAGAGTGGCGGGACTGTAATAATGTAGCATGCCATTTGATGGCAGGCAGATTTACATGAACGCTGTTTAACCAACCAAAATCTGGAAACACGCAATTTTAATCTACTGAAAAAAATTCTAAAATTCCCTAACTGCAGGGGTTACGTTCATGAAAAACTGTGAACACACAAATCTCAATACTGCAGGTGACGCCCCTCCAAACACACACACACTTTCACAGATATGAAATGTTAAAGAGAAGTTTCTTTGGGCACTTATTTTCAAATCTATTAATTCATTATGTACACATACCTTGAGTATACACAATTAAGCGCAATTCATCTTAAGGTTCACATTAGCTGGGACACCAAAACCTAAATAGATTTTAACTTTCACAACTCCACCACTTTCTCTGGATTATTCAGCAGACATTAATAATGCATAAATTGCCGTGCTATTAATAACATTTAAATGCCACCGACAGCTGCTTCCAGCCCTCAGCCCATAAAATGAGCACCTTACGACTGGTATGCATTAAGTACTATACTTTTATTTACCGACGCACTAAACCGAAGACTGAAGACCTTATTCTAATCTGACATAATTACACTCATTTTCGTATCTTATTAAAATCACACTGTACTTTGTTATTCCCACAATTTTTAGCATGAGTAAACATAATTTGCCCACAAATACATCCTCGTAATTGCCGTTATGGAAGTACAAATATATATATATTTTACAAATAAATAATTTCTGCCATAACCTAACAATTTATGATTTTTAAAATGAATGAATATGTATCGAATTCCATTTTCCTTCTCACCTAATTCACAACCCGGGTTTCTGTCACCCATGATACACGGTGAAATACCTAGTTATAACGATATGACATTCATTCCATTCCTTCCTAGTGATTTCAAAGATAAAACATTCATGATCCAATCACATGTTCGCACGGGATACCACCATCTTGCGTCCTTCTTACACTTCTTACAGGCACGTTACCAATATATTCAAGGTCACCCCTTAATTTATTTAATGATGCCATCAGTACATAAGAATTTACCAATACCTGCCTCAGATTATACTATACTTTAAAGGAGGCTCCCTAATTTATGGAGAATAAACGTGTTCTCTTCATACAAAATACGGACTTTTATTAAATTCTAAATTAACAAATTATTATTCCTCTACCAAATAAACAGCAACATTAAACAAGTTTTCAGGTATCCACAACAATGAAAATTAAGATTGCAGACTTATAAAACCGCGTAAGGTAACGGTAAGATGTCCCTGTGGAGGTGATGCTCCACCATTCTTGTTCTTAGCACTTGGAGGTGAGTGGTCTGCTTCACAGCCATACCCATTGTATAAGAGGTTGGGTGGGCCCCAGAGCTGATCCAGATGCTGCAGAGAAGTCTTGCTCCTGACAGGAATTGAACCCTGGCCATCTAGCCCATATTCTGTAGCTATACTGGCTTCTATAAAGCCGTGTAGTTTAGCACAATGTCTTGGAGGAACCTCTTCTACCATGAAGATTGTGACAGTAGGTTGCTCAAAAACTTTGGGAACCACCTATCAAACTTCACAGTATTGTAACCCAGAATGCCACAGTCTTAAAGTACCTTCATTCACTGTGCACAGACAGAACTGGACAGTTCTTAAAAGACATCTTATGCAATGAATGTCCACAAAGGGTTACCAAATAATTAATACTGTATAAAAATGCTTTGGTGCACTAAATATGCATCTTTTAAACAGTGGTCCTAACTACATAAATTAGGAAATGGATAAAGGGTAAGTTTTAGATGACAGTAATTATCATTTTACATAAACAATCATCAGTGTGGACTAAAAAAATAATTCATTTTAATTTTCTTTCATATTAACAGAAAAACAGACTGCTACAAGAAAAACCACATAATCCGCCTGCAGATGACTGAAGTACAGAATCACACGTCACAATTTTAAACAAAAATATTAGAGAAATGAATGTTCACTTACTATACACAAAGAAGGAACACAAAAATATCTTATAATTTAAAACACTAATAGAGTACAGTGAACTGAAGTTTCACTAGGCACTTGAGATCTAAATCCTCAAATTTAATTTATAAGCCATATATACATTAAATGTATGAGCAACAAACTCAGTTATTTGGTGTAAGCTAATGTTAAGTACCATCACCTGACTGCACATTATCATTGTTACACAAACAATGAAAATGTAAGTAACAGACAATTATATCACGCTTTGGGAAAACCCAGTTCTTGCTTGGATACAGAGAAAGCCAATACAGGTAACAGTGGGGAAAGACCACAGGAGATGAAGGAAAGAAGGGGGAGAGGAATAAGAGAAGGGTGGGGTCATGAAAGGGACTCGGATAAAGGAATTGTGGGGATGAGGAAGCTGTCTTGCCATATAAAACAGGAACGAAGATGATACACCTCACTCACTACTTGGAGCTGAGCCCTTCTTCAGAAGCTGCCAGTTGTGCAGTTACTCAAGAACTTCCCACAATTTTATGGAACCCTAAGGTTCATTACCGTGTTCACAAGAGCCCTTCCACTGGTCCCTATTCTGAGCCAGATCAATCATGACCATATCATCCCATCCTACCTAAGATCCATTTTAATATTATCCACCAACCTACATCTAGGTCTTCATAGTGGTCTACTTCCTTCTGGTGTTCCAATCAAAAACCTATACACATTCCTCTTATCCCCATTGATTCTACATGCTCTTCCCATCTCATCCTTCTTGACTTGATCGTTCTAATTACAACTGGAGAAGAGTACAAGTTATGAAGCTCCTCATTATGCAGTTTTCTCCAACCTCCTGTCACTTCATCTCTCTTCGGTCCAAATATTCTCCTCAGCACCATGTTCTCAAACACCCTCAGTTTATGTTCCTCCCTTAATGTCAGAGACCAAGTTTCACACCCATACAGAACCACAGGCAAAATTATAGTTTTGTACATTCTAATGTTTACGATTTTAGGCAGCATACGAGAAAACAAGAGGTTCTGGACTGATAGGTAACAAGTATTACCTGAATTCAATTTGCTTTTAATTTCCCCAAGATGTTCCTCATTGTCTCTGACACCCCATATGCATACTACAAAACATATTTACATCTCAGATTTACATGTGCACATGCACACACACAAAAAATGAGAAATAAAATGGCCTATAATGTAAAACAAAACTAAAATTCTTACAAGTGCTGTAACCTGCAACTATATAGTGTAAGTACATACAATCAATTTCAAATGCTAAGTACAGTTCTCAGGGCAGTGATGAGAGACTGCAAATGAACCAAATTTACAAGAAGACCAGTAGCACAACTTTTCTCAAGTTTGGTATATATAAATAATTCTACTGTTATATTGAAGTGACACACATGTTGGGCATTTCCACTGTCTCACCTTCAGTTAATCAAAAACAGGGCATGTCCAACACACGTCAGCTTAATTAACACACCATCTAGACTTTTACACTTAACTACTGTCATATGTTCACACTGTTGTTATGGTGGGACTCCAAAAGTTAAACAAAAATCCTTTATACTGAGGCCACTGAAAGAAGTCCCATATATTCACAACCCACTCCTCCAGCTATCATGCTTCCTCTCCAGTATAGCTTCCCATATTCCTCCCCAGTCATTTATTCATATGAATGTTGGTAATCATAACCATGTGATAAAATTTTCTAATGACAACTTCTCTTGAGTTTGTTGACACACCAGAGGGGTTGGTGGGGGAGGGGATACAATAGGAGGCAGAAGGGAGGAATCCTTAGCCACTGTCATCCCCACCATGCACAGGACCTCTTTTCATGGCCTCAGTATAGTCTGTGATTGAGTCACATGTAGTTGCCACTTGATGCTAACTCCCATTCTGAAATTTTCACAATTCAAATGTTCATCTACAGAATATTATACAGTGTCTTGAAATGTTAGAATATGATATTTTGCTTAGAAGTGCTATTACAGCACATGAGCTGTTTTGGTGTCAATCTTACGACTGAGTTATGTCATGGCAGTTTTGTATTAGTGCCAATGAATGGCAAAGTCATTAGAGCCTATTCTTTTGTCTAATGTTATGATTATAAGTCACGAGTTGCAAGGGGGCAAAAACAAAGTATATTACAGATGTGATAAATGAGACATAATCTATCCAACTATTACAAGGTAAAGCAAAGTAAAGTTGTCCCTGCGCTTGATTAATTAAGCGCCACACCATGAAGACATATGAGTGGAGGTACAGCTCCGCCACTCTTGACCTTGGCACTAAATGGAGGTGAGTGATCAACTTCACAACCCCAGGCACTGTACTCCTGGCGAAACAGCCCACAGTACCCACTGGACAGAGGGCTGGGTGGAGCCCAGAGCCAGTCTGGACACTGTGGAGAAGAGAAAAATATCTTGCCCCTGCTGAGAATCGAACCCTGCCCATCCAGCCATTAGCCTGTCACAGTACCAACTGGGCCTTCCTGGCTGCCCATCCAACTGGTACAAGGTAACTTCAGGTAATGACAACCAAAGCAAGAAGATGATCTTTGCACTCCTTTGTGCCTTACACAGAACACAGCGACAACTTAACTTTTACCTTACACTCTTCATTACACGTGTGTCAGCAAGTGGGCTCAAGCAATAACACTACTAGCTTGTGTTTGGAGATACCTGGTACAAATCTCATATGGGATACTGGCTATTCTGACTAGTTTCCTCAGTGCATCCAACCAGATTCCAGGTAGCATTTCAAATTATGGTATAACCACTTCCTTCCATATTACACTATACAGTTTGAACTACTGACAGAATTAAATAAACCATAAATAAATAAATAACTTAATACACCTTAGACACAATGGACAAAGTAGATTCATGACTGTGATCAGACCTACAATCTTGCCAACAGTCAATTTTTTAAACTTCAAAACATGTTTTGTACATGTGTTACTGTGTGCTGGAATCACACTTTAAGGACAGCGAAATCTAACAAACTAGTGCAGTGTAGCAATGGCCTCATTCTTTGTGAGTGAGTCTCAGTCACATATACAGGACATGGCCAGAATATCCGTGTATTGATATTTGTACACAGTTCTTTCAATACAATTTCTCAAATGTTTTCACAGTTCAGACTCTTAAGGGGCTATACAAATTACAGACTCAAAACAATAAGCAGCGAATTTCTGCTGAGTACAGTTTGTAAGTTCCTGCCTTGGCACAGACTGTACACTAAGTACAAGCAAAACTACCTGTTCTTTGACTAGGATATTGTTTCTCTTCTTCTGATTTCCACAATAGAGCAACTACAATTTTTATAGGAATAAAATATAACTTCATGTAACTAAAATTCTGGTGCTCTATATCACATCTGTAGCAGGAAGCAGGAAAGTTACACACTGAATGTACTCAAATGGAAGTGAGATTCATCTCACGTTATTAAGAAATAAAATTGCACAATGGACATATCAGTAGTCTGAAACTTGTCCCACTCAAGTCAGTACTACAACAACAAAAATTAAGCCTTAATCTTAAGTAAAAAGTGGCGACGGCAGCGAGGCTGATGTATGAGGAATGCATTAAGTACGAATACACTGACAGAATATTCTGTCATTAAAAGAAGTGGGTAACACAACACAATTAAAAGGCCTGAAGAAGACTAAGAGCCTGTATGGATTCTAATTATAGTGACACATGAAATAAAGCTCTGAAGAAAGTGCCATGGCTCAGGCAGTTAGGCACTTCCTTCTCAATCCCAGTTCAGGGCACGTTCTCTAGACACATACACACATCTAAGTAGACGGGCAAAAAGAAATCTTTGCTAAGCCGATGGGCTGTCATTATATAAAGTCTGGAAACCGCTGCATTACATTTGGCAATGCTACAGTTGTACATATGCCCAGGACATTCACATCATTGCCACTGTTACACTGTTATGTACATATACTACATTTGATTTAAGATTATTCTAACCCTAATTTACCTGTAACTTTCCCACTGCTCCCAGTATTCAGAAGTTTGCATTTCTGAAAGTCGTGAAACAGTTCGATCAAAAGCAAAAATTTCTTCATCTCCAGTGAAAATACTAGCAGAAGCATTTTCCTGTAACACAAACGAATGAAGATTGAGTTCCAAAGAAGGTTCTGAATATGACACTGAAAGTAAAACACCCAAGAAGTCTTCAAGGAGTTAAAACTGAGTAACTGGCGCGTCATAACAATATTCTTACGGAGCCATGCTGAATGTTCAGATCATCCATCAGCTTACGGTCCTCATCTGTGAAATCTTCTTGTTGCTTACTCAAGAAGAGCTGACTGTGAGGAAGAGCAGATGATATCACAACTCTCACCTGAAACGAGATATTGGGTCTGCAGTTCTCTGTTAAACAATTTCAGTTTGGAAACCACTCATCATGCCAACAGACAGCTTTCCAATGTATCACTGCAAAAATCTCAGAGGTCAAGTCATATCACTCATCAAGCCTGGCACTTGCATTACAAGAGTTTGTTCAGGTGCCATATTGTTATTTTCCATTTCCCCAAAAGAAAAGTACCTTAACTATTTTAGTACAAGTGAAGCAGAATACAAGTTGTGCCTAAATGTTCCCACATATACCAAAATAAGAACAACAAGTGATGTGTTTTGTGGTCTGTGTAAACTGTACTGGAGACATGGATGGTGGGCACAAGAGCCTTCAGGGCTGCCTACGCTTCCTAATTACCCCCTGGCATATGACAACAAACTCAAAACACTGTTCACCAACGCAGGATATCAGCAGTCATAATTATGAACATCTATGTGAACAGCACTGCTAGAGGACTGGAGGGGGAGCCATAATGGCTTGCAGGAGAAACAGAGACAGTCTTTCTGTGGCCCGAGTACACTGAAATGACACTGAAGGACGCTGACACCTGTATGAACATGACGAAAGTTTACCAACAGGTGAAAACTTCTGGAGGAGTGTGAATCAGTGTCCCTGATAATGGGGGTTCAGAAATAAAATCAATCATGGCAAAAAGCATGCAATGATAGCTGAAGGCCAAACCAAAAGCAATTTATTCTGATACGATCAGTAAGCTTGTCAACAGTTGGACAAAATCCACTGATGGACTGAGTGTATGCACATAAACAAGTTCTAGCTAATTAGTGCATGACTATGTCAAAACTTGTGCCTACCTTGTTATCATACAACGTATCGATAAGAGTGATGAACCGCCGAGCCTGTGACTTTATCTGCAGACTCATCTGGGGCACATCTCGGATGAGAATGGTATGAAAAGCCTGAGACAGCTGGAGATAGTCACCAGCTCCAAGAGGCTGCAAAATCAAGTTTCAGACCCCTCATTAGTTACCTTGATCTTCTCTCACTGTTACATTGTTATATACATTCAGCATGTACTCGTATGTTAGCAGATAATTATGAATAGCAACAGAAGGGTAAGTTTCAGTCAGGGTTACAATGCCCATCTTTACTGATATTTTCTCTAGTTAGCAACATCATTTACTGCATACTGCTATTTCATCTTTTCTTTTTCACCCTTATGGGTTACGTCACAACACCATCAGTAACTAGACTATACACACAGTGTCCAATGGAGGATGATAGATGAGTGATGAATTGAAACAGGAATGGGAACAAAGCAATCATGGTCCAATCAAGGCACAATCCAGTATTTGTATGGTGGGACTGAGCAGAAACATGAAGAGTTTCTGTCGAGCCAGCCAGTGTCCCTGCTGAGATTTGAACAAAGCACCGTCTGAATACAAGTTAAAGAGTACTATTGCTACTGACGTTAGTGTTTCTTGCAGAAGAAATGAAGGTCACATATCTTCTAAATGGAGAGCTATAAAAACCTATTTTGTCACATGAAATTAAAAAGGAACATATGATATATATTTTTTGCTAGATTTCATGTATGCCAATTCAAAAAGAGTTTTTAGTAAACACTGTACTTCTTAACGTGTCCAAATTTTATGTAATGTACCAAACTTTGTATGTAATTAACTGCATTTGAAAAAACTATTAACAGTTTCTTGAGGGATGTGGTGCCATGTACTGTGGCACATATTTGGGAGGAATCTATTGCATCACTCTTCTACCCTGAAAATGGAGGCCCCGAATTTCTCCAAAATATTGGTGCCTATCACTTTACATAGTGTCATATCCCAGAAGACTGCAATCTTAATACTCACTGCTGTGTGAACCTCATAGCTGTTAGGAGTTTTACGTAACTTCAAAGTAAAATGGAGGATATACTGCACAGATATAAATCAGAATTAAATCTTGTTGGATCTGAGGTTCTCACGGCAGTGACCATCAGAAATATTATCCCTGTGTTGTGGCACTGTACAGTCTCTACCACACTGCACAGCCTCACATCCCACAAGAGAGACAGTAACGATCAAAACGAAATTTTCCCAACATCGATTTAGGGCACAGAGGGATTGACATTATATTTTGATTTGAAAACTTTCCTTCAGTGAGACTTCAATGACAATTAAAAGGCTGAAGCAGTTTTATTAAAAAAAATACAAAGCATTATGTATTGGTTATTTTACAATGTTTAACTCACTCTGTCACATAACTCAGAGAAAGTACAGTCTAGAACCTGCCCACATGTCTTCTTAAAAGTGACATCACGTCCCTTTATACTGATTGTCCGAGGTCGGATTATGTCATTCTCAAAAGAACATAAGTACTTAAAGACTTTATCCATCTCTTGGTCAGTATCACACTCTCCTTTCCTGCAATATCAAGAAATTCATATTAATACACATTACTTGAGTTTCACAGTCATCACATGGGGCACGAATCAAACTGAACTGCAACTGAGAAGCAGAACTTATATTTCTATCACTTGAGCACCTGGACTATACTGATCGCTTATCAAAAAGTGGAGTAAATTGAAATGTTTGTGAAATATACTTTTAAAAGAACCAGTGTTTCAATGAATTCAGATCCCGGCTATAACAATTATTAAACCGACATTGTATTAAAGATCACTGTCTTCAGGCATGTGACTTGCATCGTTTGGCACAAGTTCACTCATGTTCCAGAGGAATGAACTGCAGGACTGGTTGTCTGCTTCGTTTGCTCTTCAAACCTAAGGATACATACAGATTATTTCTCCCATATGCTGAACTTCTAACCCAGAAGATAGTGCTCTTCAGAGCTATTCTGTATGTATGTACTACCTAGGAATCTTATGAACCAGATATCATTCTAATGAATACCACAGCAGGTCCAGCAATGAGCCCTCCCATTCACCAAAACAACATTTTTCTATTCTGCAGAACTACAGCGAGTTCTGAAAAACATATGAATACCAGAACAAGAACAGTTTATATGCCGCATGATCAACGTGAAGAACATCACAGACACACAGACATATGAAACAAAAAAATGGGGAACAAACACATAAAGAAACCATGAGTAAACAAAAATCAGAATAATTATTTCTCCCATTTACTGGATTTATTGTTATTCATCATCAAAATCATGATTAAATAAGTAAGTAAATAAATTGAATCTGATTAGCAGTGGAGCACATGACTTCGCTGGATTTTTAAGAATAATTCTACTGCTGTGTAGGGAAATAACTGCCTTTACTCTGAGAATCACGTGACATGTAAGTGCACTGTGTGGATGAAATGTTTCTTCACTGACAGAGAATCATCCCTGAGGGTACATCATACTCTGACTAGAGAGCCTTACAGAAGACAAGGCCTACTCATTCAACAAGATCTCCAATATGGGAATGCTCGGCCATATCATACATTCAAAATAAACTCTAGCAACCCTCCATATCACTATTTGATGATGATGTATCCCTAAAGAGGTTTCGAGATATAGCATGGCAACCATTGCATTTTAAAGAGTATAGAACTTCTTTTCTGGACACTAAAATTACTATTTTCATAATGCCATTAATGATTAATATAAAAACATAGATCTGTGAAACAAGGAAACATTTTCTTGAGCTACAGTGGCCTCTAAAGAGCATCATATTAGGGGTTATGCTTAATCTTCTTTATATGTAGAAGTAACACTAATAAAATAAATAAATGAACCCTCAAGAAATAAACTTACACAAAGTAATTTCGGTCTTTACCAGGAACAGATTTCAGTCTATAATCGATTCCAGAGTCAAGACAGGCCACTTCACAGTGTTCTTTCAGTACACGGATAAATGGAACAAAATTTGAGCGCTGAAGTCCATTTTTGTAGAGATTATCTGGTGCTCTGTTACTTGTTGCCACAACAACAACTCCATTGCGTAAAAGTTCCGTAAACAAACGCTTCAGTATCATAGCATCCCCTATATCAGTGACCTATGGAAAGAAACACGAATGTTATAGAACACATCACAATTGCAGCTATAGCGAGAGCACTCCCAGCATCTGCCGTAACCTCAGTTATGCATTTAAGCTGCAGGATTATCAGTTTTGCTGGTGGTCTGGAACTCAGAAAATCCAACCTCAAGGGAGGAGCACTCAACACTTCTGCATCGCAGCTGTGCTCAAAAAGAACGCACTGCAGCATCAAATACAATTATGATTTAAACTTATAATTCAAATTTTAGAGTTACATAACATTTTCACAGAGCATTGTCAACTTTAATTTCATTTCATTTCATTTATTCACCTTCCATAAATCCTGTCAAGAATACGTTCACATGCGGATGTGGATATCGTCCTAGTTAGTCACAACTAAGAATTACAGTTGTCATCCAATAGCAAACACATATGTAACACATTTGTAATACAGTACGGATAAACGTATACAATATAATAAATAAGTTAATTTTAGTAGTAAAAGTAATGGCAAACCTTATACAATTTGTACAGTTTTATACAAGTCTATTAATTAAAAAATTCAACAGTTTAAACACAATGGCATTAATGAGTACTGTACAACATACACATACATTAATAGTATAATAAATTTAAATAAAGACTAGTATACAGTGACATAAAAATTGTGGATATCTAAAATAAGTAACTAAAAACTAGAACACAGACTGACAGTCTTGTCTTCTTTAAATGGTAAAGTAAGACAGTTTCTCGGATCTTAAAAGGATTTATAACTAAAATATTCCTGTAATGAATAAAAAGAATGTAAATATAGAAATTGTTTTAATTGTACCTCAAAACTCAGTGTCACTCGATTTTTCCTTAATATGTCGTGGTAGATTATTATAGACCTTTGTTCCTAAACAGGAAATTCCCTTTTGGTATTTACTCAAATTTACAGGAGGTTGATGTAGATTATTTTGCTGTCTAGTATTTTTTCTATGAATCTGTTTCTGTTTTTCATCACAAACAGCATAAGAGATAGTATTTACTGAGATGCCAGAGGCAAGATTTCTAATCCTCTAAATAAGTTCCTGCACGAATCCCTCCTTCTGCGTCCCAACATAATTCTAATTATATTTTTTGCATTCTAAAAATTTTTATACTTTGGGGTGAGTTACCCCAAAAGGGTAAACCACAATTTATAATAGAATTAAAATAAGAGTGATAAACCATTTTTAAGGTATTTATGGATGTGTATGGTTTAAGCGATCTTATTATGTAGCAGACTGCACTTAGTTTTCAACTAATATATTCAGTGTGGTATTTCCAGCTCATTGTATCATCAATGAATATTCCAAGAAATGTAATACTGGATACAGTTGCAATTTGCTTTTTATCATACACAATTTTTATTTCAGCTTTAGGATTACTGTTTCTAGCTGTAAACTGAATGTAGTGGGTTTTGTTAAAATTTATAGAAAGTTGGTTTACTTTGAACCATTCATCTATACTGTGAAAAGCAGTGTTTATATTTACACAGAGATCATCACAGTTTGAACTTTTAACTAACAAACTAGTGTCATCTGCAAATAATATAGGTACAGTTTTATCATTTACAGTTTTGAGTAAATCGTTTAAATAAATGAGAAATAACAATGGGCCTAGAATCGAACCCTGCAGGACACCATGTTTAATTTTGCCCCATGTCAAAAATTCATTGAGATTAAGATTTATATTTGTAATTAAAACCCTCTGATATCTATTTCTGAAATACGATTCAAGCCATAGTTTAGCTTTACCTTTTATCCCATAAAACTCCAATTTCAACAACAGAACCTCATGATTAACACAGTCGTAGGCCTTTTCGGGGCCACAAAAAATGCCTCCTATTAAGTTTTTGCTGTTTAAGGTCATGTAGATTTCATTCACTAACTTGTATAAAGCCTCATCTGTTGAAGATTTTGTTCTAAAACCAAACTGTTCTTCCACTAAAATGTTATTGTTATTTAAGTGCTCAATCAATTGAATGCTCATAGCTTTTTCTAATACCTTAGAGAATGAAGTTAAAAGTGATATAGGCCTATAATTGGAAATGTTTGATTTATCACCTTTTCTAAACAGCGGTCTTATTTCTGAATATTTTAAACAATCTCGGAAAATTCCTTGTGATAATGAATTACTGATTTTGGGAGTCAAAGGTGAGCAAGTGAAAAAAGAACTCATTCTTAATACTTTAGTGGATATTTCATCATATCCATAAGAGTTTCTTGATTTGAGAGATTTAATTATATGTTCAACTTCCTTAGTTGATAAAGATTTAAGTTTAATATGTGGAAAGAGATTTATAAGAGTTTTCATTAAATACTGAATGGGAGTAATGTCTGGAAGATAACTAATATTAGTATTCTTTTGTTTATTTTTGCATTTTTATTTTCAGCTACAGATAAAAAGTAATTGTTAAAGGTTTCCGCAATTACTTCCTTTTCTCTAATTCAATTTCCATCCACCTTTACTGTGCATATTTTTTCATTAATTGGCCCCTTATTAGTTTCTAATTTTACTATATCCCATATGGTTTTATTTTTATTTTTCGAATTTTGAATTTTGTTATCATATTTTAGTTTTTTAGCTTCCTTAATGACCTTAGATAAAATTTTACAGTATTCAGCTGCAAGAAGTAAGCCAGCAATGAGCCATTACTTGCCTGGAATTCATCAAAGCAAATCAGCCATGACCTGTCACTGATTAATCTTGCAACAGGAGGAATGGGGTCAAAAGGCTGTGGCTTTGTGCTCTCATAGTCCCTTACAACAGTCTTCTTCACTTCATGAATCCGGGAATGAACATCTAGCATGAATGAATGAAAGTGAACACGGCATTTTCCTTCAACCTTTAATAACAGAAAAAGAACAAAGTTCGCAGAACATAAGTCACACATTACCATTTATCAATAATGCCCTTTAAAGTTTATGAAAAAATAAAATAAAAAGTGCATGCATTGAAAACAAATGATGTATACTTGTGGCTAACTAACCAATGCTGAAAGTGGTCCAACCACCTTTACGATAGCACTTAAACAGGTCCAGAGCATAGGTAAAAATTCTTGTTATGTAACTCTGAACCAGATCAGTTAAAAGCCAAAATCACTGAAACATGAAACAGAATCAAACCATTTTGATCCTGTAAAAATTAATGAAATTAAAGTACACAGTTATGCATATATGATACAGGATGCAAGGTAGAATTGCACTCTGCTTCAAAATGTGAATCCCATGACCAAAAACAAAGTCCATGCTAGTTTAAAACAGATCAGCTACAAAGTGACACAGAAATCTCCTGGGTTGTAATGCCATGCAGTCTGGAGACAGCCCAACATTATAAGGAAACTACTGCCTTCATCTCCAAGGTCAAAGTGCGAGTCAAGCAAGAAACCAGAAGCAGCCAGCAGACTAAGGCTTTTCCTGGACTACAAGGTGTTACAACCCAAAAGACCATACTCTTCACAGTCACCTCTGTGAGAACCTCAAATCCAACATCTTACAAGATTGGCACACTTTGGTGTCTTCCGCCGTAAGTGTGCAGCCAAACTGGGGACCGAATAAAAGCAGGTAGGGCATTCAGGCCATTATATGATACAATTCTATGCTTCTTTAATCTGTACCTCAAAATTATAAACATGAAGGCAGCCTTGTAAGGATTATGTGCAGCAGTTTCTTTACGGGTCCTCTGAGGTGGTACCATTACTACCATTATTTAAATATACATGAGCTGTGGTACTCAAAAATATCAAAACAAAAGTTCTTTTGCATATCAAAATTTTAATTTTATATTTTAAAAAGAGGCCAGAACCACAAATAAAGGATGCAAGACACTGTGCTCCACTGACTTAGTTTGAAGTTCTCTGCTTTGGTGTTTCTTTTCTTAGTTTAAAAATATGATCACCCACCATGCACAAAAATTCAAACCACAGCTTTAAAAAATGTCACTGAACATCTTTAATTCTCTGCAACCACAAAAACTAAATGTTACAGAAAACTCATTATGCTTAAGAAAGTGTTAAACAATAATCTTTATTACCTTCATCCCAGGCATGCCCAGTTTGCAGCATATTGTATAAACAAGACAACTAACAGGCTGACAAAATTATTTCAAATGCTACAATGGTACACAATACCCAAGGAAATATACTGTGACAAAACATTGCCATGAATTCAATCCTGACCTCCCTTTGCAGCTTTCAATACACTCAGACTTTGTCACTGCTGACTAAACTAAAACAAATCAATGTACCTGGCAACAACTGTAGAATAAATCCATAAGCATTGTTTTTCCGCCACCAACAGCACCATAAATATAAAGTCCTTGGGGAGCTTTGGTTCTTTTTTGGAAAAATTTACTTAACAATCCATTTACTGGTGGTGTATATCCTTGAATATTTTCATAAAGGCGCTGCAAACAGTCAGCGATTCGTCTTTGGTAATCATCATGCATTAATTCACCGCTATCAATCTTTTCTTGAAGTACTGCAAGAGGGCCCGAAATTTGACTAGAAGATTTCTGAACATCGTCAACACATTTAACCTTCACGGTATGCTGGTGAGCTTCGCAGCTCACTCTCAAACAAGATGACGCTAATTTACTGCTTAACAGTAAGATTTTGTTGAAATGTTGTACATTTCCACTGCGGAAATATAATATTGCACCTGAGGGTCGTGCCATTATCAAGTACGTAGTTGTAGTTCTTGGCACCTAAAATTTGTAATAAAAATGAATTAAAATATTAAAGACGGTTATATTTTAGGCCGTATAATAAAATGAATAATCAAAATTATAATATTACAACTTCACCTTACCTTTGATATGTTCTAATGTATGAAATTCAATACTTCCCTATGTCTGTCGATGTTACATAATTTTTCTACCTTCACTGCGCCCGGGGTGCGGAATCTGTGTCAAGGCCATCGCAGGACCATTCGCAATATAATTTATCGCATCTTAGTATTCGTCTGGTATCAGCTGATTGCAGGTAGGTTCGAGCGGTAAATTTAAACGTGTTTTCCGTTTTTTAGGAGACGAGCTACACTTACCTCACTATTTTAACCACACCTGCCTCCTGTACTGTATTTTATATTGAGTACTGTGGGAGCCTATGTGAAATAGCATTCCTCAGTCATATACAGATGTACTACAGAACCGACCTGAAGACTGCTTTAGAACAATGCGCAATTTCCATAATCACTTGATAAACCAACACAGTTGTCATAAGATTACGAAAGATGACGTAAATATACAAAACAAAAATGTCTGGGTCAAAACAATCTTCAAACAAAATTAATATTTGAGGTTTTCATGCCAAATAGGTGTCCACACAGATCATGTGGCTAGACTATCATGAAGTTGCAGTCTAATTTCTGGCACAGGGCAAGAGCTTTTTGTCTTCTAAACAGCCAGGCTCTGGGGGTTAACCATCCCTGTGTTCAGTGCATATAAGGAGGAAAGCAGCTAGGGACAAGAATGCGTGGAGATATGCCTCCATGCCCCCATACCTTGTAATGGGATGATGCATAACTAATTACATATTAATATTTTAGGATGTTACAATTTTCTGCATATAACGTATGTTACAAAAATTAAATAGTTTTTAAAAGAATAAGATTCCATTCATAAATCTGCACAAATGGCTCTTCATATTCATGGTCATTTTCACTGAGGTTATCATCAAAATTTGATTGACACAAGCTCTCTGTACCTTCATTATTAACAACCATATCAAGACCTGACAGAATCTGATTGCTGACCAATTTTGGAAACACTAAATTTAATCCTAACAGTTTTCCTGCTCTTGCCAGTTGTTTTAGTTAATACTACCATGACTGTTTTTGAACTTGCATATTGTGTATGTAGGAATTTGAATATAAGAATCATATTTTTCTTAATATGCCAAAATAAAAAATGGACCACCCTTACCTTTTTCAGTTATGAAATCAGAACTAGTATTACTAAATTATTTAAGAATACTGAAGTTGGTATGTCATATAGAACAAAAAACAATATTAAACACTTTTATAAAAATGAATGAAAACAAAAACGAAAGTGGGACAGAATATACCTCTTCCTCCCTCTCACCATCACTGAGCACTCACGGATTTCAGACACCTATTTCAGGGACCTATCCTGGTCTCTACCAGCCAATTGTCTTTTCAAAGATCTTCCCGTTTCTTGACGCACACAGTTTGAAACTTTTTATTTAACAGTTTCAGAAATCTGTTTCTTTGTATTCTGCTGACATGTTAAATCCTATTCGTCTTAACATCCGATCGGAAGTGCCCCGATTGGGCCGGTGATGAGTATGGTCATCATGGCCGAAGTACGGCAATTTGGCCAGTCGGTCATTTAAACTCTGCTGCTGGAAGCACATGCAGTCCTAAATATTTATTTTTAAATATAGTAATTACCAGACTTGAGTAAAAACCTAACAGAGGAATTAAGATGATACCTAAGTGAACAACAAAAAAAGACTATGTATGAGTTATAACCAAACTCATCCATGAGCCAGTACTTTTATTGGAGATTCTGCAGATTAATGTGTCAAAAATATATAGTAAAATTCGATGTACATACCTTTTTTGTTATCTGCTTGATGTATATATTGGTTGAAATGAAACTACAGTATTCAATTTTACTACAAATGCACAGAAAGCAGCTCACACTCTGTATCTCAGCCATGATGCAACTGTTTGTTTACGACCATAGAAAGGGCAATAATCTCTTGCAGCTTTAAAGGTTAAGTTAAACATTTTGTCCAATATGTATAAGGTAAGATAATCCCTGGACTTAAATACCTCGCTATGACCATTGTATATACGGAACTCAGCATTACATGGAGGTGACTGGTTGGCTTCACATCCTGACTGATTCATTCCCAGCCCACTGCACAGGAGCAAGAGTGGCCCCAGAGCTGGTCTAGATGTTACATTTTAATTGTTATAGTATATTTTCATTTCTTTTATGGTGCAACCAAATGCATTTCAGTAGCTGTAATTCTGGATAATACACAGGGCACATTTCTTTATTTGGAGTGGGGAGTGAGTGAGTGAGTGGGATGTCTAGGGAACCTACAGGGAAGGCAAACCCAGTGGGAATGAGAGCAGGCAAAACAGAGGAGGATGGATCAAATGTAGAGAGCTGGGATAGACATGTTAGGTACTGAAAGAGAAACTGAGGGATGTCCTGTTTCTTTACAAGATCTGTCAACGAGGACCTTCTACAATATGCTGAGAACTTCTCTCCTTGCTGGAGACAAAATAACTTGCAAACCAACTGAAATCAAGTTATCAGTAGGAGCTACTGGGCAATTTCTTCAACCTGATGATGGAAACAAAGTCTCCAAAACACATGCAACACAAGCTACATTTGCACTCAAAAATGGGATCTAAATTATTACTGTTACAGCTTCACAAAAACTTCAAAATATCGATTTTCATACAAAATGCTGAAATAATAAGATTTTGCTCAATTTCTGGCAGATTCTTTCAAATATATTTTAGTTAGCATATTACAAAACAATATAGTGCCTAAATGTGGAAATTTTTATTCCTCAACACATATTAACAAGACAATGCACAAAGCAAACATAAAATAAATACACATAAGACAACATTTAAACTAGAAATAATTTATAATTATTGGCATGTTAAAACCCTTCTCCACAAAATGGTACAGAATAGGTGTAAATATTTTACTGCATGTTTCTTGTGATCAGGGAAAAAAATTAAATTAAAAACATACCCATAACAATAAGAAGTTATGTTGAATGAAGACATACATTTGGAATGATGGTACCTGCCATCTTAATTCCATTTCTTAACAGTTAGCATACATATTTACCGAGTGTTTATCCTTAAATGGAATCCATACATTTCAAGGCAAATTACAAAGTATAAATATTGCAGATCTGTAATACTACTTACATATGTGCACTCTTGCAAGCCATGCTATGGCACAGACTCTTACAGAATACAATAACGGAATGATACAGGACTGCATGGATGGTAATAACTGGTTAAAAAGAGAGACATTAAGTAAAGAAAATCATTTTAATTTTTTTTTTGAGATTTCGTATCACATATTATGTTATAACGATCACTTCATTTCCTCATCTGACACCACCTCCACGAGAAGCAAGTTTTATTGTATAAATACATCCATTACTATATACTGCAACGTTACTGCAAAGAGAGGTCAATAAATATGATCACCTGGTCACCAGGAGCAAATGAAAAATTATGGTTGGTGACTAATTGCCCACTCAGCATTTGAAGGCTGGCTTTTGTAAATTTAGCTACGTCACTCATTCACTTGTGGCAGTACAAATGCCAAACTACATTCATTAATCTCATTTTGAAATCGCATCTTCTTCTGACATTATCTCATGCCTGGCCTATGGATGTTCAGGACAAGTGGTATGATGAAAGCTGAGCAGGGCGAAAAGCTACAGCAAGATGCCAGAAAACATTCATTCACCTCTTTCTAGCAACCAACATATGTCGGGCTGCCACATTTTCAAAGCTTTTTCCATCCCTGATTATAACCATTTGGTACAGTTTCCAAAACTTCACTTAACGATTAGGCATACAATACACAATTTCCTGCTCGCAACAACTTATAGATCTCACCTCACCCTCTGAAAGAGACACCACTCACTCAATTTCACAACCTAACACCAATTTCTGAAAATTAAAATAATAAAACATTTACTGCTTAATCCATTCTGATAAATTTGGTAGGCAAAAGTTGGTTTCAAATGCCATTTCTTAACTTCCAAAATCGTATGTCCACATTTTTAAACTGTACTTGTAATCCCTAATAGTCAGTCACATGCCCAAGTCTTCCACTACAAAGCTTGTTAATGACACCGACTGTACAATCAGACAAACATAACAACTTGCAACAGTGTTCAGTGATGAACTGGATATGAAGACTCATAGCCAGCACTGAACAAACTCATCTGCTTGTCCTCGATTAGTCAGAAATCAAGGTTTGAAAAGTTATAAAATTTTTGGAATTTATTTATTAATATTCCCCTTCCTTTTTCCATTTCTCCATGAATGCTTAACAGTAAATCACATTTTCTCTACCCTTTAAATGAGGCCCCGCATGTAATTTGACAGGTGAGTACATTGGTGCCGAGCAAGCACAACAGTGTGGGCACAGCATTTCCTCTTCTTGAGAAATGTCTGGTAAGCAGAATTTTTGTCTCACTGATGAATTGAAGCTATATTTGTTGACCTCTGTTCACAGTTAAGCCTTATACAAATTAATAATATTCTGAAATTAGACATGTAATGATAGCCCTTCTTATCATTTCTAATACTCCTTGAGAAAAAGTAAAGTGTCAGTTGATGAAATTATTACACAGTGATGGAATACACCGTGTCATGTGTAACTGTCTTTAAGTGAGGTTTTTCTCCTTCATGTTAAATAAATAGCATGACACAGGAGACATTTCTCGAGTCCAATGTCTCTGTGGCCGGAAGCGGGTAATGCATATGGGGAGGCAAGCCTCTACTAGAGGGACCCCATCATCATGTCATGTTCACGCCCAAAGTCTGACGGCTCCTCTCATAAACAACGTAGCTGATGCTAACAGCAGGTGCCACCTTCAGGAAGTTGGGAGTGATGCCCCGGTACAGGCCCAATGGGCCATCTCTTTGAATGATGTTTCGTATGACTCCCATCATGCCATACATTTCCTGGGGCTGTCCAACATTTGTGACTACTGCAAAATAAAACAAAGAGCGTGAGTTTTCAAGTTCTCTTGGCAGTAGGTGTTCAGACACTAACCTCCTGAGCTGTAATTTGCTGTACCTTTGTAGGTGGATACCTAAATTTTCATTTTAGAAGAATTTATTCGGCCCTTATGATGAAGGCTGTATGTTCCTCCAAAACATTGGTATCCAACTACAAGACCACACAGGTCACAACTTACAAGATTATAGTGTACAAGAAAGGATAGGTAGAATAAACTATTTTACAAGTCTGTGTGATTACACATCCAAATTGTAATTGAAAACATTTCTTTGACATTCGTGAAGTGGATATTCACTTCAACTTGACATCATCAACAATTTTACAGTGTTCTTGCTTTTCAGCAGGCATTACATTCATTGACTTTATAAGGTCATCCTCAGTGCTTCCTTATGTATATCAGCCTTACAGAAACAAATTGTTTCACTTTCACACCTAACCTTCATATTTCTGTTTTATAATTAAATCACCTTATTACTTTTGCTAAAGTCACTAAACTATGTCTCTTTACATTAATATTTATAAAATTAATTAACTTTAACTTCTAATAGTCCTTGAGAAAATCTGGTGCTGTTACAATGTTGCTGGTTTTTAATAAAACTTTCACTCCATGTTCCACCTACATTAACATCCAAATATTCTCCATACTGCCCATACAATGTATATATTTGTGTCATATGATGCTCGCAGGAAACACAGTTACTTCCCTTAACAACTTTAATGGACTGGTTGCTATAATGAAGCAGCACTGTGTTTACTGTGAGGTAGGAACTGAAGCACACAAGGTTAACTGGTCTTGTGACACACAGCCTACAGTTTAAATAACAAAACTGGACACGAACATGGCATAACACCAAATAAAAATCTGAAACGTACAAATTACCTTGGGCCTGTAATCTTGTTCTCACTAGAGCTAATGGATAGCTGCATACTTGTCCACAAGTACTCGACACTGTTCCACAGGCCAGAAGAAGCAGGACACTTGGAGCTTCACCTTCACTATGTTGCCTCAAATAGGAGTTCTTAATAGTCTGCACAACACAGAACAGCATATGATACATTTTGTTCATAAAATTATATAGTCCTCCCCTACATGCCTTCATGGTGTAGTGCTTAATTAGTACAGCACAGGGACAACTTCACCTTTATACCTCAACGAAAAGCGGCCTCCGTAGTCTAGGGATAACATTCCCACCTCATGACTCAAGGTACACGGGTTCAAACCCGGCAGAGGCCATGGAATTTTTAAGGGTGGAAAAATTCAGGGAACAACTCCTCTGGGAGGAACTTTAAGCCGTGTGTCCCATGTCGTAGATTTACGGCACGTAAAAGATTAGGCAAAGTTTCCCGCCATAATAATAATACCTCAACGAATAGGGACCATTACAGAGCATGAGAACCAGAGAATATTAGTGTACTGAGGCCAGAGAAAATGGACGGGATGACAACACCCCAAACTTCTGACTCTCTTCCTGCTGCACTGCATCCACACCCCTTGTGCCTACACCCAGCTATCACTACAGCAGGGTACGCTAGAGAGAACAGCATAACAGCTCGAGGAGAATGTGGAAGTGGCGGATCAAGTGAACTTCTCTCACCTCTACGGAAGAATTTACTTTAGTTCAAACCACATAATTCTGACAATCTTGAAACAATGTCTGCTTAATTGTCACTTTTACTTATACAGTGACACTCCTATTCATGATTTCCTCTGGGACCAGTGGATGTGAACACTAAATTGAAGAGACGCTTAAAATGGGGGTAATATGACACTGCGATTACTGATCCAGGATCACTGAAACTGAAGGTTTGATGGGCAAGTCTTGAATCAAGGAACAATACAGGGGGGCATCACTGCACGTAACATCCAACCAAGGGATAAATTCTTCTGTAATTACAATACTTCAAAAGAGAATTCAACAACATAACTACCTTTTTTTTATATTTATTAATGTCTAATAAACTATCTTCATTAATGGCAGGCCAATTTACTGGTGATTATTTTTTTCCCTTGGCACTACAGCCCCAGTGGGCCTAGGCCTACCTCCATAAACTTCTCCACTCACTTCAGTTTTTCTAGATCTTAGACATTCGGTAGGACTCCTTGGGCGAGTGATCAGCTCATCGCAAGGCCTCTACCTGTTCAGAAACACAGAAAAATGCACACACAAACTAAACACCCATGCCCTGAGTGGGATTCGAACCTACAATCTCGGTTTCCAAGTGAGCGAAGAGAGTACATGCCTGCTGGTGATCATAGTGATTATAATGTCTGGTTCAAAGTTTGTAGTCTAAGGAGTTTTGCTCAAAAATATCATAAACAAAATTCTCTGCCTGCACACGGCGATGATCTACCAGGAGTCAACATTCTCTGACTAAGAGCAAAGTGTACAGCTTGAGCTTCAGATCACAGTAAAAGCTGTTTGTTGGCTGCACCTCCCTGTACAATATCTACTGATCATGAGAGCTTACCTCATAAACAGCGAGATCTATTCCAGCATATGGAATGATGCCTAGGAGATTGGGTACATATCCACGATAAAATGTCTGCCAACCTCCTTTTCTATACATTTTTTTGGCAGCATCAATAATACTACTAAATTCCCCAGTTTTTCGTAGTGCTAATCTTGTTTTCATCACCTGAAAATCAAAGAATATACAAAATGAATCAACAGAAAATTAATTTACTCAAATGTCAGCAGCTATTAACAATGCTTAAAATCTTTTTGCTGGTGAAGCACTGGAACAGATATTAGAATCTGTGTGAATACTGTCTCTGACTCAAGCATAATGCATGTATGTGGGTCCTGTATGCATGCGTGCATGTACGTGAACAATTCGTTAAAATTGCATTTTATTAATTTAATAAACACTTCACACCTCAAGCGGATAAATAGCGGTCTGACTTATTCCACCGGCAAGAGATCCCGCCACAAACCGCTCATAGATACTAAGCTCTCTCGTGTTATTTCCTCTGATTATCTTCTTAGCCTGCTCATATGCCATGAACTTTATAGCAGACTCCGGAGCGATCTTCACAACGTTCATCCCATTTCCTCTCCAAAGGCTCCAAATACCCCCTTCCTGTAGCAAGTGTTTTAAGCAGTCCTTCACTCCAAGCTGCTTTGTCCCATGCACCTGAAAAAGAAAGAAAGTTGTTTTGTTTAATGAATGTACACAATTGTGATAAATCTTCTGAGCCAACCAGCACCTTCAATTTTTAAACCACCTACTTTTATCTTCAGGCAATTATCCATTCTCTCATGATAAGACACGGGGAAGGTTTTAGAAACAATGACTCTGACACTAAAGTGACATAATTGGTGACTCTGGAAGAGTTTATCACTTTAGTCACCACAACAAGTTTCAAGTGACTTATTCAGTGGGATGGATAAAGCTGAGAAGTCCCCTTTCCTGTCCGTGTCACTCACCTGCCCAAATTAACATATCAGAATATAAACAGGGAAGTTCTCTGAAGTCTGTAACTCCTCCCGTCACACATGCCAGCAGACAGCCTTAACTATAAGTACAATGAAACAACAAATTTTTATTGTCAGGCAGAATCTAATGACTATGTACAAGTGTTTTACACTATTTCTGAGGAATTATCTGGTGAGGACTTTCAAACCAGGCAATGACCTTTGTTTCTTGTATCCAAGATTAATTTCCAGCATGACTGAAGTCGACAACTGGTACACCAAACTTAAAGATAAGCAGCTGAACAGAACACAGCAACAATAACTGCAGCAAAGGCACAGATGTCAGTGGTCTCCTTTCAACGTGCTCCTGTGTATTGTAATTTTGTACAAAAGAGCTATGATTTCACAAACCCAGACACATGGGAATTACAACTCACCTGTAGGTACACCTTTAACCTATCAAGTGGGGCAGTGCAGGTCCTGGAAACAGCTCCAGCAATTCCTCCTGCAAGAAGATGTCTCCACCATTGACCAGAAGCAATCTCTGAAGGCGTAAAATCGTCTGGTACATTCAAGTCTTCTCCAATGTCCAGATACTGCGCATAAAAAATATAATTATTAAATGAGATCAGATTAAAAACTTCGCTGTACAAGCACACACATCACTACAACTTAATCACAATGTGTCATAAAGGTGAACAGCAAGCAAACTTCCAACATGAGATGCTTTTAAACATTAACATCTAGATTGGCGAGATCAGACCCCAGGAAGCTGTTTCCATCTTCCCTTAGTGGGGGGTTGAGTCCAACTGGATCCACTCAGCACAGCGGCCATTGACTGGCCTATTGTAGCCTGCCCCGGGTGATTATGACGACGGAGAATTTGGTGGAATGAAGATTGGCAGGGGAAACCGAAGTACTCGGAGAAAACCCGCCCCAATGCCACTCTGTCCACGACAAATCCCACTTGACCAGACCCGGGATCGAAACCAGGCTGCCGCGGTGCGAAGCCAGCAACTAACCACTTGGGCTATGGCACGGCCTTGTTTCCATCATTCCTAACAACAAATCTTTGAGATGCTGCTATTTTGCACAACATAAAATAATGCAGAGACAATGAACATGTTTTCCATACATGCTTACTGGATCGTGGCCACTAGAGTGTATAGTGTTACCTTCCTAAAGACTCCAGCCATGGGAGATGGTCTCCATGAATTATTGGAACTGACTCAAAACTGTTGGAGCTGTTTCTGAGTCACACTTTGTTTCTGGGGGTACATTATTTTGGGGGCTAGAATGTTCATATTCATCAGGCACTGACCTATGATGGATATTCATAACAGTGAACATGAACAGAATCTCTTCAACTGTTCATGCTCTAGCATTTATAATTCATCCATCTTGACAGCAATGCCTGCTTAACTATTGGACACATGTAACTCGCAACTACAAGCAGCAAAATTAACACTTCCGCTAATCTACATATTTAATAATCACTATAGGATGGGATGTATCACTCTGTTATAGTCCCCGCTAGTCACTGCTCAGGTACAGTTCTGAACAGCGGAGATTCTTTCTGCTCTCATGCTTGTGTCACTGCTGGTTGCCTACCAACTCACAACTCATAACCTCAGACTCAGACTGGTCTGTCTCAGAACTGACTGACTGCTGCTAAACTGCTGCTGGCCCTTGCCACCATAGTGATTCTGAGTTCTGAGTCACACGGGACTCGTGACCATATTCTAACTGCCTTCAAGTCAAGTTCACATCTACTGGTTTCCGTTTCAAGTATGTAGCCTCAGGGCAGACCTCACAGAAAACACCATTTCTATCAATTCTATTATTGCATGTACATATCTGTTCACCGAGCCACCACCTAGCAACTTTGACTTGAAATTTATAAGGCGGCATTCAACATACACCACTTATGGCCCCCAAAAGTTGCCACCCCTACATCTGTCATTTCTCGGCTTAAATTTGTATTTGGCAGTGCAGCTCCCTGGTTTCAATGCAAGAGTTCACACACATAATCCATGCTTAATTACATTAGTGTACGTCTCTCAGATGTATGTATGCTTTACAAAATCCTAAGAAATTCAGAACACGAACTGGAGGCCTCTATCATAATTAATAGCAAGTTCACTCAGCAGAGTAAAATGAAAACGTGTTCCTCTATTCCAGTGTTCCGCAACCTTTTTCTACTCGCGGCAGACCATGAATTATCCATGACTCAACACGGCACACCAAAGTGTTATTCCCCTCAAAAACGCATATTAGACAATTAATATAAATACATAACGTGATCAACTTATTACTATAATATTATTATATTGTTATTTTATTATCATTAAACAGAAATCGACTCGTGCATTTATTAACAATTAATGAACTTTAATTTATTGTAGAGTGCAGAAAATACACTTCTATTACTACTAAAGTAAATACAGTAATTCTACTCATACCCTCAATGTGATACTTGCGCCTGCGTAGCTGCACACAGGCGACTGATCCGTGATGGAATCGTTGACAACGCAAGTCTCATTCCCAATTTCAGTTAACGTCGAGAAGCCCAGTTCACACAAATACGTGTATGTAGTTGAAAATGGCAATAACACATTAACTGCCGTCTCGGAGATAGCCGGGTATCCACTCCTTATTGCCAACCAAAACGTATCCAAAGGCACTTCGAGAAGTTTTAGTTTCAATGTTCTGTCTGTTTTTAAATCTGCGAGTCCCTCTTGTATATTAATCGGAAGATGTTCTGATTTCACAACAAATGGATCACGAACCCAGTCGAAACCTTGTACACTCTCTCCAAAATACTTATTGAATTTCTGCTGCAGCATTTCTAAATGTTCTTTAATTGTGTCCATCGCCATTTTATTGCCGTCAGCAAGTGGCCATACAGTCGGGGACATCTCAAACGACCCACCTGTAATTCTCTAACTAGCAACCAAAATTTGCGAACTACTTCAGAGCACAGCTGTGATAGAACTGAAACAATTGTAAAACGCGGGATCTCTACTCTTCAAACGGAAGAAGTGACACCATACCAACTTATTTTTGAAATATTTATAATTTTAAATGAAGTCCAACAATCGGTGGGTGCTCTAACTTATAACAAACAGGGGCAAATACCAAAACAGCGTTATAAAAGACAGGAAAACCCATGCTAATCCCTGCAGTTTTATGGAAAAGCACGTACACAGAATATGCGTCAGGTATATCAAAGAAGCTGCGTAGATGCGAGAAAAATAAAAATAAAGCAATAATGAAAACTAAGATATAACAACAGCTGTGAGTAGATCATTTACGTCTAATTTCTTAGAATACAACATTACTGTACATAAAATATCACGGAATGTAATAAAGAATAGACAAGCATCATCTTATTTAATTAGTACAGTGGCTGAGAATAAAATACAAGCATATGAAACACGGTAACTGGGATAAAATAAAACGAATAAAATTCGACAATTAATTTCTTACAATAGGTAAAAGTTCGCGCCACAACTTTCACCTTGTGACGGCACACCGGTTGCGGAACACTGCTCTATTCAGTCCCACGCAAATACAGAAGTAGTGTTCTACACTACGATACAGCATTCATTAAAGATAAACTGACACTACGTCATACAACACACTCACGTGTTTATGTGCGCATTCATCTGGTACCATGACGTTGCTATGACGTACGCAGATATGTAAAAGATAAAGTTATCCTTGTGCTTAACTAATTAAGTAATACGCCATGAAGACGTGTGGGGGAGTGGATGTATAAACCCACGAATTCTTGACCCGAGCACTAGATGGAGGTGAGTGGTCAGTTTCACGCCCGGGCCACTTTACCTCCGAGGGAGGAGCCTAGGATACCCATCGGGTTGGAGGGTGGGCCCCAGAGCGGGTCTGGACGACATGAAGAAATGAAAATTCTTCTTACAGTTTCTTCTTCCAAAGCCTTAAGTGTGAGCGAGCTGTACATGTGCTTGTCCATCGCCCACACATAACGTAACCAGGTCTCAACTCACTGTCATGAAGACACCGCCTACTCGTACCAGTACAACAATCATACGAACCTGGCAAAACGGGAAAGAACCCCACCGGCATGGAATGTAACGTATTGCATTTCTGCTTGATGTTTTTTAACTTGCACCGCTTGTACGTGATTCTCAGTGAGGAAGGATAACAAAGAAACAACAGGGGCCACAGAAAATATTTTGGATTGACTGATAATCACTGTAACGCACGTGCTACAAATAGATAAATATGAAAACTGTAAATAAAACGTTCGTATTTTGATTTAATGTACTGATCTAAGATGATCAAGTCAAGGAGCAGGGCATGTAGCACGAATGGGGGAGAAAAGGAATGCATATAGGATATTGGTGGGAAAGCCAGAAGGGAAGAGACCACTAGGAAGACCAAGGAGTAGGTGGGTGGACACTATTAAAATGGATCTTAGAGAGATAGGATGGGATGATATGGATTGGATTCACCTGGCTCAGGATAGGGACCAGTGGAGGGCTCTTTTGAACATGGTACTAAACCTTCGGATTCCATAAAATGCTGGGAAATTCTTGAGTAGCTGCAGATTTGGCTTCTCCTCAAGAAGGGCTCAGCTCCATAGGTATGTATGTACTGATGTAAGCATAGAATTATAACATCCAGGGCCACAACTGACAAGGGCTCGAATCTGTCAAGTGTGGTCGTCAGTCTTGAAAACTGTTTGTTGTAAAAATTAAATTTCGGGCCGAACACCTTAACTTTAGTAACTGGACTGCACAGAAAATGTGATATCTGTTCGAACTTACAACAAATACACCTTGGGAATGCTAGCACGGAACAACGAATGTCTCGATACCTCATTATTATTGCTACTGCATTTCTTACTCACTTGTCCTTCGAGCCTTGGGGATCAGAAACGTCACCTATAATACACACTAAGGGCAAAGTGATCTACTATCATCGTGTTATTCCACATGGAAATTACAAATACCTTCCACGGTCACTACTAAGGACAAACACGTCCTATCAGATGGTTTTATATACTATAATTCCTCCTGCCGTGACGCACACAAAATTGCGTGAATTGTCATATTTCTCTTCAACATCTCACGGCACTCCCGGCGTCGACACTACACAGCGTCCGACTGCAGAAGAGATAAACGGTGAACTGGAATGGATCTGGCCACTGTCCCAGTACTTGCATGGCTATACCACAGATCTCCGTCAGGACAGCAGGCGTCCCGCTCAAGATTCGAACCCAGCGTTTCCCGAAAACAAATCTGAAGCGTTACTTCTTGTCCAGCCCCTTCTAGACCTGATTTCTCATTTGATACTTGTGCAAGGTCGTTTCTTTCGTAACAAGCTTATTTTTTACGGTGAGGAGCTAGCGCCACGCTGGGGGACCGCCCCTTGTCGGCTGTCCGGGACTGCTTATTCAATATATTCGCACCTACCATCCATACCTAGACGACGTCTCCTCCATCCGCAACCCGAGGACGCGCCATGCCGTGGTGACAAGGATGATGAGATGGGCAGGGCATGTAGCACAACTGGGGGGGGGAGGACTGCATATAGGATATTGGTGGGAAAA